CTGGTGTCGGTACGTGATGAAAACCTTCACTTTAATCCCTAACCCTAAATTATGACACTAATTCATAACGCTCATTCAACCGAAGTAAGTAGGAGGATATTCTCAAGGTCCCCAAATCATCGCTCAAAGCTCGTCCATCAATTATAGTCTCAACGCCGTTCAATAAAAAAATCCATCAAACAGTGTAGCAACATAAATGGAGAGCTCGAATAGTGGAGTTTTTTTATTTCATCGACCAAAACAATCAAAGAAGTGGAAATTTGTAATTTGACCAATGTTTATGTTATTTTTGGCTGGATAGTAAATCCCATAGAATAAAGCATTGTGGATAGTTATGAATTTCATAGTTTATATAAGGGAAATCCATAAATATTGCATCACTTTTTCGTCCCTGTATGAGACAACTTGACAACATGTATCCACGACCCCATCGAGGATAAAGCGTACGAACTTGCAGATTTAGAACACTACTACTGAGAAGTTAGTATAATGGGACGAAACGATTATCTAATCTGTGGTGTAAACAACATTAATCAGTCAGTCAGATACAACGTAGGAACAGGCATATGTTCAAGATATAAATTCAGTTATGAAGAGGTATTTTATTATTTGGAAGATACAATAATGATGGTAATCAAGAAAAAGAACACAACACATTATTATTCAAGTAAAATGATATTTTCTCTACGATGAAAAAAACAACAACAGGATGATTAGGTTATACTTACCGTAAAAGCATAATAGTAATAATAATAATAATAAAGCTATAAAATAAACAATTGTGTATATATATGTGTGTGTGGGGGACAGACATACTGTTTCTATGACCCAACATGTAAGTGTAAAACGATTAAAAGTTAACTTATCATTTTAATAATGAAATAGATTCAATGGTTGTTATACGTTTGATCAATTATGAATGTAACAATTACCATTAACTAGAAAATGGTATGAAGAAATTACAATGAACGGTATATAAAACAAACAATTATGCACATATACATACATAGTTGGAATAACCGAATAAGTGTTGATTTACAAAGAAAGAAGAGGAGGAGTTGGATAGAGAGAGAGAGAGAGACAAACGACACCAACAAAAGATGTTCGTGTTGATCATCATTAACACGATGGTAATAACCATAATAATAATGCTGACAGAGGTAGATACGTAGAGAAGATGAATTGGATAGTTTGTGTTACGTTTGACATCTTTTTCTTATAAAAAAAGATCAGACACATCACCGATTTCATCGATAAGCTCCGTCATCAACAACATACAAGTTTGACTGGTTAGCGTAGATAGAAACGATTTATCCTGTAATATGCACGAAGTTTGGAAACATCCATAAACACACAGGACAAAACCAATCAGTCGAGATAAGAAGAAAAAAACTGTTAAAAATATAGGGAGCAGATATAAACAAGAGCAACACGAGCTTATCATCATCATGTCGATCAGTAATGGTAAATGCTAGATGATAAGCCATGAAATCTCTTTCTTTTTTTAGCCGATTAAAAAACATGTGTACGCAGAAGCTAAACCTCACAAGATCTGATGAAGAAATTAATCAATAAAACATAAGACATACATATCCATGCAGAAACTTGTCTTGTGTCATCTTCAGATCAAATAGTTGTGACTTAACAGTAGTAAGTCGGCATAGTTGTAATTGTTGTCATCATAATCATCAAATTTGTGGTGTAGAGTGATGACAACTATGTCGATTTACTACTGTTAAGTCACAACAATTTAATCTGAAGATGATACAAGACGAGTTTTTGCATGGATATGTATGTCTTATGTTTCATTGATTAATTTATTCACCAGTTTTATTGTGGAGTTTTCATTTAGATCTTGTGAGGTGTAGCTTCTGCGTGCACATGTTTACAATCAGTTGAATAAGAAAAGATTTTATGGCCTATCATCTAGTCACAATAATAATAATGATAATATGAACAAGGAATCGTTACTGAATAAAAGGCAAACAGAAACGTGGGAAAAAAAATTAAGAAGACTCAAATGGAACGAAATCAACACACAAACACTCTCATTATCGACAGAAATGTTAATCGAGAAAGAGGAACAACACAAGGGGAAGAGAGTGAATGTATGTGTACATGTGTGAATCCATTCATAATTTTATGGAAGAGTGTGCAAAGAAAATACGCACACAGACAAAAAGCATCAATGGTACTGTTACTGCGTTGAATAGTTTATAGAAGATCATTAAAACAACAGATGTAGTTGTCATTGTTGAATATCACTAAAGGAAGAAGTAAATAAATAAATACACAAAGAACTTGATGTTAAATTGATAAACATTATGACAGTGTATTGAATAATAATAATAATAATAATAATAATAATAATAATAATAATAATAATAAAGAGAACAATAATAAGCTGTCGTTTACCAATTCATTAACTATTAGATTGAGTCATGTCGAGATCTACAAGAGACTATGATATATATGATCAACAGAACAGTTTCCTTATTCATTCTAATTGAAATTTGTATACTCTCAATGTTAAAATGGTATAGAGTATTTGTAACTGAGAATATTGGAAGTGTTATGATCTTTGAGCTGGATAGTTTAATTATGAAGCTTTAGTTATTCGTCTGAACAACAATATCGTCAACATGTATTTCAAATAATAGACACCTTTAACGCTTACAATATTATTCTAAATTTTTATTTTTCAGTATGGGTTTGTTGAGTTTTTGTTTGAGATCATGAATCAATCTAAGCTAGAACAACGTTGAAACCTGGAGGAAATAGATGGCCTAATCATCCTGGTATGGGACTCCTCAGCAGTGCGTGTTCATGATCCGGCACGCAAGATTTCTACCCAGAACCATCGGTCTGGCGTGCGAACGCTTAACCTTTAGACTAATAAGCTGGCGTTCGGTGGTGATAATGTCTAACTTCAACCAATCCGCGAAATTGTGTGCGCATCTTCGATTGCCTTCGGTGGGTAACTGCCTTAAACTCAACACGGATTAGCTCCACTGGTTACGGCCTCAATTCAATAAAATTCATCTTCCTTGTTGTTATGCTAACCGATGTAAAGTGTAACGATTTTTAGTAATTATTAAAAAGATTGACTACTGAGAATACGTTTGCCAAGTACTTTAATTCCATGGTAGTACAGACTACTCTATTTTGATTGATGGATATGTGAGACCAAATCATATCATAGTCTACAGTCATTAGAAATTGTAAACTAATGTATAGCTCAAAATTGATTACCACATCATAGAAGTAGTCATTCATCGGTTTTAATTGGTCCCAATTGAATGATAAATTGTTGTTTCATGTTAAGCTTTTTACTGAAAAAACTACACTGTAATTCATGAACATATTTTGTTCTTACATTCAATGTTTTATGATATGTGAATTAGATGGAAGGTGATACGGGAACCAAGGTCAAAATATACCTTGATGCCAGGAGGTTATGACATTTCACCGACCACTTGACTGAATAAATTTTAGCTGAACAAACAAGAGTCAATGATGGTGATTACTATACACTGATATTTGTATTTTTTCTTCATTTATCGAGATTCGTGTAGTGACTGAGTACAGTATTAACTAAGAAAACTATCGCAGTTGAATGATAATTCTTAGATGGTAGTGTAAACCAGGTTTCAATTCGTTTTTTAAAGAAAGTCTGTAACACGACTGCATATGTCCGTATGACATTAACATTTTAACGATAAAATAGTATTTTTCACAGATTTACATGATCACACTATGTGAATGTGCGTTTTGCAGTAGCAAGAATCCATTCTATGTAGATTTCACTTCCTTTTTCGATAGAAACGATAAGACATTGTACTAAGAGTTGTCATGAAATTCGTGCTTCTTCATATAAGAAAACTGGTTGTCTATAATAATGTCTTTCTTTGTAAGTCAGTAAACTTGGATACATATTTATGTGTTCACTTATGAGCAACACCTATTGACACTACTCAAATGATGAAATCGAACTAGATAAAGAGAGGTACGAAATTGAAACATTATAGTTGAAAGTAGACTACTTTTTAAATGTTGAGAACCCTCGATAATTTTTTCAAAAAGTTTTCAAAAGCCGGGAAAATACTGAAAGTACTTCGATTAATCAGTTTTCTTTAGAAGCTCTCAAGAGACTCCTCGAATAAATGGACAATAGCCACTTTAGAATATTTCCCAGAAGCTTAGAGATATATTATAAATACCCTTGATTATTGATACATGGAACTAAAGCTTCTACTATATTTCCCTCCTGTTTTTTGTCCAAGATTCATGAATTAATGATCTGTGAGGATCAAAGAAGCTGGGCATCCAAGTGTTTAGTTACAATATTTATTAAAAATCATGAAACAACTGTTAATCTCTGCAAACATTCAATATGAATTACAAGTCACTACTATACACATTATTCAGTTCGGATGATCACGAACTATCGGTTAATTTATAAAATTTGTTTATTCTTGACAATCAAATTAATGACCAATTATTTAACCATAGAAACGTGCACGATAAGAGTATAAGTGTTTGTACATACAGCTAACCTTTGAGCTTATTTCTCTCTAGTGAATTGTCAGCATAGATTATAATTTAAACATCATATACATAGATATAAACTGATAGATATATACTATAGTTTTATTTACCCGACAATGTTTTATTGACGACAGATGAGTACATGAAGGATGTATTGAAGGTGGGAGAAGGGGAAACATTGAAGATTCTTTTCTTCATACGGAAAGAAAAATTCAACTGAATAGTTTATTCGTTTTTTTGGCATGTATAAGAGAAGATATTCAAGTATCAATACATAAAAATGTCACCGGAATGAAGATGTAAGCAGATATAATTAATGTATACTATATTCATATATAATTCTGAAGTGTAATAGGTAGGCGATGAATGTAAACGTGGGGGAATTAAATAATGATGAATAACTGTTGATGATTACTAATCCACAATTAACGCTATTGCTGACGTCACATCACTTATAAGCGTCTACTCAAAAAACGATAAGCAGCGACTAGGCCGACAGCTCCAACAGCAATTGTTGCTACACTAGTCAAGGCGTTTCGAAGTGAACGTAACGTATCATCATCGGTGAAACTACCAGTGACTAAACCAATTAGACTATTATTTCCCATTGCTGTTGAGGTTACTGTTGATCGGTCAGTTTCATCACGTTGTGATTCAAAATTAATAAGTCCCTCCTGTGAATAGTAGAAGAAAAAAAAGATAGACGGAATGTAATGCAAATTCTATCAATTAATCTAAGGGATTTTATACTCCTTAGTTTAATTTGTGGGTTGTATGTGATATATACTGGTATAAGTTGGGGTATATTGGAACTACTCAATAAAGCACACTCATAACCCCATGACCGACCATCTAGCCCAGAACGTGTAACAGTCATGTTGAACCTTTAAACATAGGAACTGTTAAGTAGACGTACAGTAGTACAGTTCTGACGTCAATTGATTTGTGACATGTCTTAAACACATCAGCCATAAGTTTTCAGTAGAACTTCAGCAATGTTTTGAATTAAATTACTAATGAGAGCGAACTATTTTAGGATAGTTAAAGTAGTCTTTGTTCAAATCCACAGCCTCAACAATAAAGTGCCATTAGGTTACCGAAATGACAAAAACATTCAACATTAGTTCATATTTCCAATCGTTTATTTTAACGTGTATTATGAATTTACATCGAACTACGTTTATAGATTGTTAACTATTTATAACTTGAATGTCAGAAACCATGTTTCAGATTAAAAAAACTAGTGATCTCCGTTTGAGTATTATCTTTAAGGCGACCTGCTTGAATATCTGGAATAGCTGATGCTGTCATCTAGATATCTCACACAAGTTAGCCGACTTTTGCTCGTCTTAACACATCATTATGCTTATGAAAAGTTTACGACTCTTCGCTGTACAAACTACAAAAAAGTACAATCAGCAACAAAGTGGTTACCGGCAATATGCAGCGAAAATATTGTACATTATTCAGATGTCGATTCCTGAACTGTTCACATCTAACTGGCGATCATTAAATATTTATCGTAAGAATCGACCAAGAAATAAGAAAAGACAATTTGTTGAAATACTTTGTACTGAGAATTCTATATTCTTGCCTTAAATGTTATACATCGAAATTCCTTTATGGACAAGGAACTGAATTATTGACTAATTTATTGTTGAATAAACGATTCTGAGTTGTTTTTTTCTACGTTCATTTACATTACAAACTATACATACAGACAAGTTGTATAATAATACTGACGTTTGTAGGGGCATTACAGAATTGTCTTAAAAAAAGATCAATCTTCCTGTTCATAATACGCATGTGGATCGAGAAAGAACATGAAAACCATCCTGTAAAATGTAAGGTTTTATTAATAATTTTATAAATATCAGAGTTAGCGTCTGATCTTTACTCTATAAATTAGGGAGGATATCATGAGTATATTTAAAGAAAATCATAATACACCTAATGCATTATTATTACTAAGAACCTATTTTGTTCATATATACTCTACTATAAACCAAAAAAGCAAAATTACAAATGAAATAGGTAGGTCATCCGATATTACTAACCAGTATCAATAAGGGTTTCTAGTATTCGACTTGTTGTCATATGTACGCATCCTGGATTTCACACTTAGCCACATATTAGATACACAGTAGCGTAATATCAAGGCAATCTACACAAAGTGTACTAAAATTGATCATAATTGAGTCCTGAATATCAATAGCTAGATAATTCAGACATTTTCTAACATGTAAACACAATACACTTTGCACAGGTTAGTGGCTAACTGAACTCAGTGGATAACGCCATTGAGCACTTGACGTGAAAGGTATCGGCTTCAAGCCCCAGTGTGAATAACAACACTAGGATGTTGCAGGCACATCTAGCTAAAGTCAAATATCAAATCGAACGACAGTGAGTCATGGATTCCATTGCTATCCAAGTACATATTATTACCCAATGTTGAATAAAAAGAAGAGGACAGTAACTGGGTTAGAGTTTTCAACAGTAGCATGATGTTTCAAATTCTCCTATTTTCAGTTCATCGGCTTTATGATGACTAAAGAGAAAGCAAGCCAACAAACAACGGCTACTTTGTTTTAATTTTGTCACAGTATATCCAAACACGTGACAACTTTTTGTTACTCAAAAAGCACCTTTGTTACCCTCTCTCTCTTATTTAGTTTTGTTTTGTTTACTTGTTGATTGTTTTCGTTTAGCTACCCAATTAACTTACATCATACCATCTTTCGGTAATGGTGTAAGGCACAAATCATGAAATTGGAAAGTCTAATGAATGATACTTATACATGTACATACATGCGTATATACACATATACAAAAATGTATTTAGTCATATTACCTACTTTTATGGACAAGACATGAAATACAATGATCTCTCACATTATATGACGTAATGAATGTTGTGTTTATGAGGATAAAGATACACTAGCACACACACACACTCACATCTATGCATATACAAAGAACATGACATAATGGAATCATGTGTCAATCCGATAAAAATGGATAAATAAATAAAAATGAAGGCCAACATGATTAAACAACAACAACAACGCTGACAAAGAATTACGAAGTGATCACAACAAAATTTCATATTTTGTGTACCCTTCTCTTTTACATTTATTTTTTCTCTCATTGTTGTGAATTTTTGCAGAAAAGTGGAAGGGAATATTGGAGATAAACAAATAGACCGGAGGGAAAGAAAGAGTGAGTGAGTGAAAGTAACGAAATGTTACAGAAATATGTAATTGAATTTTGGCAAACACATTAGGATAGTGAGGAAATTGACTGTGTAGATCAAGGAGAGACGCTCATATCTTTATCTCATCTAATTAGTTGATAGGTGAGTGCTTTCTCCACTAAGAGGTTATAGAGTTCACCAAGAATGAGACAGTAACTTATGGACAGCATAAGACGATTGTATCACTTTACATCACAATCTTACTGAAGTTACAAATGTACTGAACTACTGGATCCTGATTCAATAGAGTTTAACGGTAGTCATGTTCAACAAGTGTTTTTATCGTAAATCAGGTGGCGGAAGGCGAGAAAGTTGTCCAGTGTTGTTCGTTTTTTAATAATTTCTTCCAATAACATTACTTCGTGATGGATCATTCACTATATACATATGATGGAGTGATAGTTTCAAGGACTTAATAAGAAATAACTGTGATCACGCATTTCTCCATGTACTGATTTGTCAGTTTTTTGCAAAATAACTAAGGACAACAAAAGCTTATTACAAGCAATCTACATTAAGGTTATGTTACAATTGATGTGTATTTTATAGTTATTGATACTTGTTGGTTAAGTAGGAGCTCAAGCAGCAAGTGTTTCTGGTATTATAACAGTGAACGGGTCTTGGTAACTGGCATGCTCTACCACCGTATCCAGATAGGAGATACAGTTAGGATGAAAAGGTGAAATGCTTATTTAGTGCCTATAGCAATTATATTCGAATACACAAAACTTCTCTTTCTGTAGCAGACAGTTATTTCTGTTATTTCATATTCCAGTGTCAGATTATTACATTTGTAATCAAAATTGGATAGTTGGAAGTGGATCTGATACTATAAATTCGTCTGACAGTGAACTTGTTATTTGTGAGGGATATGCTCCAGAAACAATACAAATTGAGAATAATTTTGTTTACAGTTGTTACATAAAACTAACTTGAAATATTTTCTCAAACAAATCAATCAAACATAGCAGAGAATAGAGAGATAACAACAGTAAAAGGAAAAAGAACTATTTGCTCACCCAATTTCCATGAGATGATATCCAATTCCAAAGTCCTCGGGGACCATATATAAACCCAGCCGTCCACAAAGTATAATCAGCTGCACAAGGTCTTGTGAACGACATTAAATGTAAGTTACTAACATTTGACTGATAAGGATCCAAGGAAGTTTCCAAATCTTTATCTTGTAATTTTTTATCTGTATTTTTATCACTGCCGGAAGCAGATGGATCACTAGAAGATAACTATAGAAGAACAAGAACAAAAAAAGATTTTAGAATAGGCTGTGATAGTGTGTACACCCAAATTCTGACGATTATAAAGTGCTTAAACAGATGAATGATTGTTTATCAATTTACTTAAACACATTTACAATGGTAAAAAAGCGCATCAACATATATATATATATATATATATATATATATATATATATATATATATATATGCAGAACACAAAATCTGTGTGAGGGATGGGGTACTCTTCTTGAGTGCCAGACTGAAACAGGGGATCTTTCCCCGAGCCTTTGACCCAGAAGTTTAATTCACAAGGCATTGAAACAACATTAGGAGATGCTGTTCCATAGCAGTGAATAAGATTGGGTTAATACGCCATTTGTCCCCTTAGGATCCTGGAACCCATGTGAACAATTGGTTTGGAATTAGGGTTTTTCAACCCCTCTAAGTAAATCATCTGTATCCACCAACCTGGTTTACTTACTTACTTACTTACTTTCGCCTGTTACTCCCAGTGGAGCATAGGCCGCCGACCAGCTTTCTCCAACCCACTCTGTCCTGGGCCTTCTTTTCTAGTTCTTTCCAGTTCTTGTTCATTCTTCTCATGTCTGTCTCTATTTCTCGGCGTAATGTGTTCTTTGGTCTTCCTCTTCTCCTTCGACCTTCAGGATTCCATGTGAGGGCTTGTCTTGTGACACAATTGGGTGATTTCCTCAAAGTGTGCCCAATCCACTTCCAGCGCTTCTTCCTGATTTCTTCCTCCGCTGGAATCTGGTTTGTTGTCTCCCACAGTAACTTGTTGCTGATAGTGTCTGGCCATCGGATCCGAAGTATCTTGCGTAGACCAACCTGGTTTAGGCGACGGATATTCGCTTTTTGTCCCCTAAATTTCGTAAACAACACCCGCGCCACGAGAAGGCAGTGAGTAGGACTTCCCCGTGAGTGGCTATATATATAAGCGGTCATTTGAGGGCGATTCGAGAGAGAGTATACACTACTTATCTTCGGTTGTAACAGGAAATGTGGGAGCTTAAAAGCCGACTACCTAACCGGGAAATTGATCAGTAGATAAGTGCCGACTTTTTTATACGTTTGGGATTCAATTTGATATAGAAACTAAACATATATGGATAAGCTTACAGTGACTCGACTATTTTCATAGCCCTTCAAAATGCTCTCTAATTGTGTCAATACATTTGTCATAACGACATCGTTCCCAGTGTTCAATACATATCTGAGAGTCTTTAAAAGTCTATTTCTTACTCTGCTTCCCTATTTCATACATTTCTTCAAATGTGAATATTTCTCCGAAAGAATTCGTTGGCACAAGAGATGTCCTTAATCTCAGTTTATCTCTAGTCATTCGGACAGTGAATCAGTGACTGGGGGCACAATCAACTACACATGTTCAATATTTTCATCAGTAAAGAACGTTGACAGTCGACCTAATTCACTAAAAATTTTTAGTAATTTAGTTAGCGTATTAATTGAACAGATTTTATTCTGCAACAAGAAGAGTTTGAATGTTAATTAACGAAGGAGAAATACAAACCAACGTACAATATATGAATCGAAACGTCTGTACGTAATTAGAAGACAACACGAAAAGTAGTGTGCGCAACAATTAGTCTAGATAAATAGACTTGATATTATACTTGATTAAGGTAACAGATAACTATGTAAGGCATAACACCTACAAGTAATCTAAAACACAGAGGACGAACAAACAGGAATTGTTCACTTAAAACAGATGAAGTCAAAGCAACATTAGATTAACAAATTATCAGCAACATTCAACAGTTAACTACTAGATCAAACCAAAAGAATGTGCCGAGAGGAAAGGACGTAAATGTTAGGAGCGGATAGACTACAAAGGACGTCCATATCCGAAACATTTGTTGATAAAGGTTGTGGCATGCGATGTCCGAGAGTTGATACTGAGATACACTTTCTATAGACGAGCCCACGTACGTGAGAAAGGAAGTTTATTAGCTAATCGAACTTATTGTATGTGTACGCATTTATATATGTCTGTCCTCTAGAAAATTAACTTTTCAGTTGTCTATGTTTCGTCCCTTGCAAATGAAAGCCGTTTTCTGGTCAACCACGTACACCAATCATCTGGTAATTTTTTATTGACCAACTGTATCAATAATGTTTATTTTTTTACTTGTTCTCTTACAAATACAAATTTTAGCCTTTCCCCAAAGTTGGTGTTTCAGTCATCCAACTTATTATTAGAATACATCAATATCTGAAATATGATGATGAAGAAATTCTGAGCCACAATTTGTGTGTATATAGAAGGGTTACTGAAACTACTCCCCCGGTCCCCCAAACCGAATTAAGTAGAGTAAGGCTCAAATTGTTAACCGAGTGTTTGAAAGTCGAACGCCTTAACAATTAAGGCCTACTTTTACCAGTAGGATAGTAGAAGTAGTTCTGGTAGAGTAAACAAATCTATACTTCATTACTATCAATATAGGGATGTAGGATTTGAAGTCGATGTAAGATGAATATTCAATGAAAAAAAGTGACAATAAAATTTTGTGAAATAAGTCTAAATCAAAACTTACCTGTTTATTATAATCAGATGTAACATCATCATTATGCTCAAGTTGTTCACAAGAAATAATAGGCAAATCAGTTGTCTTGGAAACATCATGAGACTGTGGAGCTGACTGATGTGAAACTGAATAATTCATATGTTTATTGTTCTCTTCAACAACTTCACATAATGTTCGCAAAAATGCCAACATTGCAATTATACGACCCCAGTTAATACGCTCAAGAAATAATTCTTCTAGAACACTATGAAATTGACATCGTGCCATTTCTAAACGAGTTTGAAGTGAATCATCGCTCACATGACTAGCAGTACCGCTGGCATCACCATCATCAATCCTACTATCACTCTTTACACTTGTGTTGGTATCACGCACATTAGTAACATTATCATTAACACTAACCATTGTCGTTTTGTTTGTATCTTCTGTACAACTTTGATCATCTATATTATGATTAATATTATCACTATTGGAATTACTATTTAAACGCTCTACATCTTCTAACAAACTGCCCAATTTATCACGATATCTAGACTCAAAATGGTCAGCGAGATTTCTGGCGCATAGAATTAATCGTGCAGATATAAATGTTGACGGAACTGACTGATGAGATTGATGATATACAAGAGAAGTGGATGGTAGTGTGGTGGCATTGGTAGTAGCAGATGGTTCATTACTTGTAGGTTGAATTTCATTTTGAGGCTGAAACAAATAGAATTGGACAGGAGGGCATAAAATTCTTATTTAGGAAGATAGTAAAAATCGTGTTCTTTTATAAATTAAAAACAGTTTAATGGTGACTATTGATGCCTGAGTTTTCTGACAGAGATAATCCTGGATCCTAAAAACGAGACTATCTTTTGGTTTCAAAGAAACAATACGACACACTTCATAGAGTTAGTGAAAGTTGAGAGATATGTAAAATTCATGGATATACTACAGTAACCTGAGATTTGACGTGATCATTAAAAATTACACAATTACATAAGCACATCTGATTTTCTGAAACAAAACTGTGTAGATCACTGTTGTGAGTGGACCTAGGACTTAGTGGTTTGAAGTTGAGAGCAACCTAACCACTGATACTATCTGTAATATATAATGTCATGTGATCGCATGTTCCTATATTTGCTTATGTATTTTATATAAACATTCTATGTTTTACACTACCATTATAACAGTTTTGTCACACAAAAGTAATCGGGAAATGAGAAACAATTAGGCCTTTAGATTAAATTTAGATAATGCAACGAGAACACGATGTTTATCAGTAATATTCATGTGATATCAGATTAGCGCAATATATTTCGAATGACAATTTGGTCACACACACACACACACACTACACATTTACATGTCGAGAGATTTTAAGTATAGAAAAAAATAAGTGTATCACATTATGAATAATAAATCAGTATTACTACGGTAGATTTAGTATAAGTACAAATTGCTTTATGAACATACAGAGAGTGTATGACCTTTCGTATGGTTAGGAGTTTTTACCAAATCAAAGCATTTGCCAACATTTTTATACACAATTACATAGACTGAGTTCAGATCTATTATATGAACTATTTCAACGATAGATTTAATAATAGAAGATGGGATCTGATAAACGTTGTCTTCTTACTGCATGTTAATCTAAACATTGGTGTGTTTATCAGTAGGCATTATTGGAATACATTATTACTAGTATCTTTAGAAAACCAACTTTAGTGGTCCGGTCAGTCTTTGAGAATACTGTTTCTCAGATTTTATGTCTAGACACTAATAGTTTGTAGAAAAAGTGAACAAGTGTTTAGTTTGTGACATGATAGCATGGAATGGAGGATAATTATGTTAGATTTGTATAGGTTTGACTTTCTGAATAGTTTCAAACATAGTGTAATGCATTGGCTCTAGACGTCATCAGTAACGGTTCATAATCGAAGGCAGTGATGATCCTGTTGTAGATATTTTCCTCTTGATAGAAACTCATGATAAGCCGTGACATGTGAAGTTTATTTTGTCAAATAATGATGGTTGTTCAGTACACTGAGTCAAGAATGAAGACGATTGAGTACCAACCCAATGCAACACAAAGGAAAACACATATTGAACACATAAGAGTCCCAATACACAACTGTATAATATGAACATTTAAACCTTCAGAAGTGTTGAACAAGATATGGATGACAATTAAAACAAATTAACTGTTTTGTAGGCAAAGATGGATAGTGGCTAGCAGTAGAATCCAAGAGGCGCGTTTCGTCCTATTTGGGACTCGTCAGCTGGATGTACCTGAATCTCAGAGTTGATGGCTATCAGGACTCTGTGGCCGAGTGGATAACGTGATGGCGTTATTGGGTTCGAGTCCCAGAGCGAACATCATTTCTGAGATGCAGGTATATCCAACTGACGAGCCCAAAATAGGACTAAACGGGCGTCCTGGATTCCACTGCTAGCCATTATAAATCTCTGCTTATCATGCTTGTGAATTTAGGCTATATCGAGGCAATACGCACAGTATGCACATATGCCAATAAGAGACTGACCAGTTGCAGTCCTAAACACCAATGAGAAGATTCAAACAAACAATACTAAGTGAATTTAAATTAACTGTTTATTTCAAATGTATTTAAGTAAATAAAATAATATAAAGAGAGAAAATTTCACCAAATTAGTAAATCATATGTCACTCTTGATATGAAATATGGTTAAAAATTCGATATTAAGGTGTGTGTGTGTGTGAGTGAGAACAAAATAATAATGAAGTAAATCGATAAAAAACAACTTAGCAACAACTTATGAGTATCTTCAGTAATTATCTAATCATTATATTTATTATTATATAGGGTTGTGTTATTGGAAACTTGTTCATATTACGGATTAACTTTTGTTAAACAATTCATTATTGAAAATCAGGGAGCAATATAGATATGTGTTTTGTTGTCATGATAGATACTTCTTCAAATAATTCATATCCTACGGTAAACATTAAAACTTGAGATTGTTAATTTGGCAATAATTCAGTGATTTACATATGGTTTTTTTAAAACTTCTATGAACTCTCTGTGTATTGCACAACCACTGATCATGACGATTTCTCTCCAGAATTCTAGGAATTGCCCATTTAAAGTTGACGTGCTATGCTATGATGTTAGTGTTTTACATTTGATTATAGTTGACAAATACTGTAAATGTATAAATTGTACTCGATTATACGTCATATACTTTTTGAGCTATTCAACAAATGTATTAAGATGAATGAGAGTTCTGATTCTAGTTTAAGTGAATTCTTAGTGTATTTCATTATGAGTACTGTGAAATAAGTGGGTCAAGTTATCTTAAAGCCTATAAAATTGATTTACCTATTGAGTAACTAACATTAATGAGTGATCCTACTACAGAGTTTTGTGTATTAAAGACTTAGATTATTACACTTACCTAATCTGTATGAAACTGTTGTCAATCAAGTTGTTCAACTTAGAAATAAGTGGAGCAGTGTTTGAATTTGTGAGTCACTATTTTATCAATTTGATTATATTACTGATAATTTATTTTAATTCAAAATCTAATCCTATATATTTTGCCTTATCATGCTGTTAACCAATGAAGCTAGCATTGGATTCATAGTCATGTAAAGATATATGATTATATATGGGACCAGTATATAAGGGTTATGCGTGTTTATGTACGTATCAATAATAATGGAAACACTATTGTATATTATTCCCACTAATTATCAATGTGTTTTAAGAACGGATAATCAGCCACGTAAATACATGGATTTTTACAAAGTTTCGTTTTATAGAAATGTGTGTGGGTAGTTGTAATTACATGACTAAAAGGAAGGAGGAAAATAATGCACCAACAGGATGAAGACCGAGCCCTGGAATAATGGTGAACCTTTTCTATACAAGAATTTATCATTTCTAACGATAACCACTAACTAGAGAGAGAAGAGTTTGATTAGTTATCAGTCATAGAAATTAAACGAAGCCTACATGTAGATAATGACAGTGTAAGCCTGCAGACCAATGGATATGAGGTTAAAATAGAACTAAATTGGAGTAAAAATGAAAATCAAAGTACCAAAAAATGTAAAACTGCCATACAATCCACAATGGTTATCAGTAGCCTTCTAGCTGCGTGGCAGCTAATTATGAGACCAATGAAAAATTTCTTTAAAAAATGGAAATATTAGTAACTCGACGAGGGCACAAATGCATACAATAATTGGCTTGATTTCCTAAAAGGACTATTGCATAATGCTTAGAGAACCTACAAACAAAAATATGCTACTGAGAGCGTTTAAGTTCATGAAAAACCTGTGAAAACGAGTTGCGTATACAGCACTAATTAGCACGGTCTAAATAATTTAGTAACTCCGTCTGAAGCCCGGATACAGTAGGGGGGTTGGGTATAGGGTTAGCGACCGATCCCGTAGAAAACTAACTCGCTAAAAAACGCTAACCAGAAATAATTTAGAGGTAACATTCCTAACTGTGGTGCTGGGTGATCCGAAGGCGAAGTCGTACTGCTGACTGTACAGAGGTGTTACGGAAGAAAGGTGTTTCCTTCAGACAACCAGCATGACAGAGATGCTGCCTTCCCACAAGGAGGGGTGGGATTAGAAAAGGTGAACCCTAAAAATGCACACCTCGCCTTATCCCACGGATTTCCGTCTCCGGCGGTAAGGACTTTTGAAGAACGGAGCTAACACGTCAAAAATCCCCCACAAAAAGGCCGTGCGTGACCGGCCTCAAGCAGATGTCCCTTGGGCACTGCGGTCACGCTCCCAGGTCGTTAAGACCAACACTAATCCAACTTCTTTTTCAGGTCCCTCAAGAAATACCCTTCCACGGTGTGGGCAGCCGGGAAGTGATACTAGCCCTCATACCCTTAACTGCACACGAGACCAAGTTGGTCGCTTTCAAATCCTTCCTACACCTAATAACTCTGTTATCTCCACGACCAACCCTTCCCACGTCCTTTTATCACCTCGCACCGCTAGGGCAAACGATTCGAGTACACAGAACGTTAATCCTGGTCTCCTGAAACCACGCTCTAAACTACATATAGGAACTTTTAATGTCCGAACATTGTGCCAAATAGGACAACAGGCTTCCTTAGCTAGGACTCTAGAATCTTACACCATCGATGTGTGCTGCGTCTCCGAAACGCGCACACAAGATCCGAGTAGTGTCATTCATTTGACCGCACCTAATCAAAATAAAGTTTCATCTCGATACACGCTTCGTGTATCTGGAAGCCCTGATGCTGCTTCCCGTGGCCTCGCTGGAGTAGGTATAGCATTATGTCGTAGGGCAGAACTAGCTCTTTTAGACTGGATCCCAGTAGACAGTCGTCTATGCGTTGTCCGACTAAACGGATCAGTAAGGACCCGGAAAGATAGGGAAACTCGTCGTTGCCTCTTCGTCGTCTCTGCCTACTCTCCCACTGACTGCAGCTCAGACGATATAAAAGATGAGTTCTACAGGAAACTTTCTGACCTTCTCCGAAAAGCTCGGCTTTCTGATGTAGTAATAGTAGCAGGTGACTTTAATGCTCAAGTAGGTAAACTAAGTGAAAGGGAAAGACACCTGGGTGGATCTTATGGTGTCATGGTGAAAAGAACAGATAATGGCGACCGTCTGTTGCAGCTATGCTCAGATAACCGCCTATTTCTTGCAAATACTAACTTTAAGCATAAGGAAAAACATCTTTTGACATGGCGAACTCCGAATTCGTCCCAACGTTGGACCCAATTAGATCACATCGCTATCAGCCACCGATGGAGGGACTCGATAGAAGACTATCGCTCATTATGGGGCACATGTTTAGATTCAGATCATGCTCTAGTGCGAGCACGTATCTGTCTGCGTCTTACTGGTCGTAGGAAAGACACTGCAGGGAAGCCTCTAAGGGTTCTACTTAATGATAGGCAAGCTAAGAATATATTTCAGGAACAACTAGAAAAACAGTTAGGCAGCCATGTAAGTTGTGTCCACCCCGAGGCAGGGTGGAATGACATCCGAAAATCTGTAGAAACAGCAGTGATATCCGCTAGTAAGGTAAACCATAAGGTTAGGGAGAAACAATGGATCTCGGCAGCATCTACCGCACTGATAGATGCTCGTAAACTCATCCCACCTGGCTCTGAGCATAACGAAGAGCGGAGTCAACTTAAGCGCAGGCTTATAAGAAGCCTACGTAATGATCGTGAACAGTGGTGGGTAGCGAAAGCAAGAGAGATGGAAAAGGCAGCGGCAATAGGTAACAGTAGGCAGCTATTCAGATTCGTTAAAGAAACCGGTATTAGGAACCCGAATATCAGTGAAACCATCTCAGATAAAGTTGGGCATATTATTCATTCTCAATCCAGGAGATTGGATCGATGGGCAGAACACTTTAGGGATCAGTTCAACTGGCCTTCAGCAACACTTCAATTACCCACGATCCCCAGTCGTCCTGAATGGCAAATTGAGGTAAGTCCTCCAACCCTCTGTGAGGTTGAAAAAGCTATAGGAAATCTGAAGCGAGGGAGAGCAGCAGGCCCTGACAGGTTGACCCCTGAGATTTTTAAGGATGGTGGTCCAGTACTAGCAGTGAGATTGACTGAGGTCTTAGGTAGAATCTGGGACCTGGACGTAATTCCATCTGACTGGTCCCAATCACTGATTGTGCCAGTCTATAAGAAAGGACAAAAGTCCTCCTGTGACAATCACAGAGGGATCAATTTGACTAATATAGTGTCTAAAATATTAGCTTCAATAATACTAGGTCGCCTAACCAAAGCTCGTGAAGAGCAGACTAGAGAAAACCAGGCTGGTTTTCGACCTGGACGTGGTTGCATAGACCAGATATCCGCCCTACGTCAGGTTCTAGAACATAGACACAAATTCAGAAGTCCCACAATAGTAGTATTTCTTTACCTTAAGGCGGCATTTGACTCCGTTGATCGTGAGGTTCTATGGCAATGTTTGTCAGTGAAAGGAGTACCGAAGAAGTACATTAACCTCATAAAGGCTCTCTACTCTACACAACTGGTCGAGTTAGAGCCTATGGCCAACTGTCATCAGAACTGATTACCACAAGTGGCGTTCGTCAGGGCTGTCCACTCTCCCCATTCTTGTTTAACTTTGTCATTGACATACTTTTAGAGATAGCACTTTCATCAGCTAAACCTCCAAGAGTTGAACTTTTACCGGGAAATTCACTTGTTGACTTAGAATACGCCGATGACATAGTTTTACTCGGTGAAGACGCTGACAACATGCAGAGTCTTCTGACCACTATAAGCAACAATACAGGCATGTTCGGGATGCGATTCTCTCCCTCGAAGTGCAAAATGTTACTTCAGGATTGGGTTGCAGCGACACCTGAACTAATGATAGGGAGTGAAGTAGTTGAGCGTGTAGACCACTTCACTTATCTTGAGTCTCATCAGCCCTTGTGGTCTGGTATGTGACGAAATCTCAGCACGGATACAGAAGGCTCGTCTAGCTTTCGCTAACTTGCGTCATTTATGGCGTAGGCGAGATATCCGTCTAGCAACCAAAGGACGGGTTTACTGTGCAGCAGTTCGCTTCGTCCTACTTTATGGCAGTGAAACATGGCCAATAAGAGTAGAGGATATTCGTAGGCTACTAGTGTTCGATCATAGGTGTCTTTGAAGCATTGCTCGTATATCCTGGGACCACCGGGTAAGTAATGCAGTTGTTAGGAAACGAGTACTAGGTAGGGATGGCAAATCGATTGATGAAGTAGTGAAAATTCATCAGTTGAGATGGCTGGGACATGTGTTACGTATGCCCGACCACCGACTGCCCCGACGTGCAATGTTTCATGGTGTAGGAGTAGGTTGGAAGAAAGCTAGGGGTGGCCAGACCAAAACGTGGCACAAATCAATGAAGTCACTGACAAGTGGACTGGGCCATGTTGGTAGGTGTAGACTACCTGGTTGGAATTCGCGAGATGACAGCAACCGATGGTTAGAGACCTTGAATGACATGGCTCAAAATCGTTTGCAATGGCGAAGGTGTATCCACTCTTTGTGTTCTACCAAATTCTAATCTTCTGAATTCCTCATGTCTTTATCTTTTTCTCTTTCCAAATTTATTTCACTGTACTATACTCCATCAATAATTTCTTCAAACCCTAATCTTTTGGATTTCTGATTATACTCCTATTACTTCTACCACTATGGGATTTGAATCGACAACTGCATCTCTGTGCTAATGTGGTATGGCAACTCGAACTGATGTACGCACGTACGAAGTTCTACGTTGTGACTGACTGACTGCTGGGTGATATGGATAAGAATTCCTAAGATGTGGAAGCACTAGTTCTCTTATAATTACAGAAATAACTTAGTGAACACAGCCAAACTAGCACGAAACCTAAAGACAAAGAATCTTGCCCATTGTAGCATTAGTGTTTCCAAAAGACATTTTAAGAAACTGATATTCTGCTGAAATTGCAAAAAAATGTGACTGGTTGTTTAAAATTCGATATGTGCAGTGGGGTTAACAAACACAGTAGTTTCTAGTCATATGGAGCAATGAACAAATAGAATGAAAAATATGTTCAAATATTCTGTTAACAGACAGACAAAAATTTACCTGAGATAAACTATTTGGTTTGAAACGTTTCACTGAGCATACTTCCTGATCAGATGATGATGAACGAGTAAAATCTGTATTATTTGTACAACTAATTGTTGGTGTAAGAGTAGTAGTAGCAGTAGTAAGGGTATTGGGGGTTGTAGAAGAATATGACTGGGAAATACTTGAAGATAAATCCGACTTAATAGTATTTCTTTGCCAATATTCTAAAGGTGAACGCCAGTCTGAGGATAGACGTGAGTCAAGTAAATGTGAAAGAAAATTTATTGTTCTCAAGGTAATTGGATTTTGAAATAGTACATTATAATTGTAGATACTATCATGATTATTATTATCATCATTAAATTGTCGTAAAGAGGAAGAGAGGGAAGGAGAAGAGGTCGAGGAGGAGGTATTTTGTTGATAATGATCAGTTGACTGATTGAAAATATTTGAATGATTTGGTTTAGGTGAATTGTCAGTAGGCTGATTTATTGGAGCATCAATATCATCATTATTAGTATTATCAGTAGACATATTCATGGTCGCAGGAGTACTAGTAGACGTGGTCGAATGTTGGACAGGAAAATCAACACAACCAATGTCAGAATAACCAATTATTGAAGCTAAGGGATTTGACTGGAAACAATTTGAATCCGGTGGTAAGGGACTTTCAGGCGTAATAGCTGTAGCCGCAGAAGAGAATGGGGAGAAGGAAATATCCGATGTTGTACTGCCGCCTTCACCACTGGCTGATCGTATAGACGGTAGACAATCACCGATAATCGAACTATTCTTATGTGATGTAATACAACACTCTGGTGGAGTTGAAGTCGGTTCACTAATGGATACAGACCGGGTGAATGATTTGCCTTGGACAATATTATATGGATTCAAATCTAGGCCAAGATTATCCCTGAAGCAAAAAGAAAAACACATAAAATAACTAGGTATTTTCTGGGATATTGAGTGGATACGGGGAAAAGGGGTTTTTGAGATTCGGAAAAGCGATTTTTTTAAAAATCTAAGTGAACGAAATATAAGTTCTTATATCGAGTGACATTCGATGAACAACCCTAGATATATTTTTGACAAGATAATACGACGACAAATGACATACCTATGTAATGTGTGATTACGTTAGATGTTAAAACAGTTAGGAGGGGAATTCAATAGCCCGCTCTACATATTACCGGTTATACATACATTCATTGAATCAAGTTGTACGATGAAAATTACGATTCCAAATAGTATAATTGTTACATTACAAAGTGACAAACAAATGTTAACCTTCTCAAATGATCACCCACAGTGACTATTGTTAGAATGAAAGATCAGATTTTAAAACTTAAAACCGAATGAACAACTCACTATACATATTATAAAAAGACAATAAATCTCATTGTTCTGTGATAAAACAAGTTTTTAAGTTATTTGCTAAGTCGGAACTTAATTTCTTGACTTTGAGTTACAATGTTTATGTAAAGGACAATGATACTACCTGGTAACCAAAATTAAAGTAGGTATCATAGAGTTTTTGAAACTGAAAATTTTCCAATATTAGGCTATAATTTTCACAAAATTATAGGGAGCATAGACAGGGAATGTGACAATTCAACCGCAACTTATTTATAGATAACTACTTATCAATATGAACGGAAGAAAACGAAGATCTTTTTTTATTTAATCAAAAAAAGAGTAAATGACTTGAATACGTTTAAGTAATCGCATTCATTAAACATTTACCATGATTTGAATTCACTTAGTATTGTTTGTTTAAATCTTCCCATTGATGTGTTAAGACTGTAACTGGTCAGTCTCTTATTGGCATATGTGCATATTGCCTTAATTCACAAGCATTATAAGCAAAAAATGGACAGTGGATAGCAGTAGAATCCAGGGTGCGCGTTTCGTCCTATTTACAATGATTATACAAGGTATTATAATTATTACAACTGGTCGGACTGCTCAATTCAAAACTGCTTTTACGCATAGGTACGCAAATATACATAACTAAGAAACCATGAAACAGACAATAAGTACACATAGACCATGAATAAATAAAATAATAATCAGAGGTCATTATCTTTGTTCACTAACTGTCCATTTCTTTTTTTTTTCTAATGAATTTTGAAAGAGGGTGGACTTTTATAAAAGAACAGGTGTTTTGTTTATCCAGTAACAATCAACTATTTTTATACAATGACGTCAGACAATACATAACTACATGTACACTCATGATAACGAGGTCATTAGAGTTGACAACCAGACAGATAAGGTCAGACACAAAATATATCAGTGTACTGTAATGTGAATGAGGACGGAAGCAAAATTTTAATGAGTATAGACAAATAGAAGAGAGAGACAGAAAGGTTAGAAAATAAAAATCTTATAGTTTAGTATAAAATTATAGTTACATTGGGGATTTTCTGTAAAAATAAATTTGAAACACCGAAAGGAGTTTTCATTATATATCGTATTATGTAATTAGTGAACCGTAGACTACAAAGAGACCTGCAAAGAATGCAACTCAAAGTTATTTTTAAATAGTAGCATCATTAAGAATTGGTCTCTACAGTTATTAAAATCTTAAGAATCTAACAAGAAGGGAAAATAAAGTGAGATCGTAGATTGACTGAAGTTGTGAATACCACCTAATGGATGTAAACTTATTGGTCGGAAAGTAATGCATAAGGTGAGAAGCATTAGTATAACATCTGACTATGTGTCGTCGGTACGTACTGATGAGTAGTCCTCAACTCAGACAAAACAATTATACAATGCTCTCCGGTCCCCAGTAGTTGTTTATTTAAAAACAATCTGTAGTACAAATAACTTTTTCATTTATGGAATAATGTACCACATTTTATGGAAGTTATATGTTGAGAGATAATGTCTATATTAAAACCTGATAGGTCTTTGAAAATGAATCTCTAAGCAGACGTTTTTTCCAAATATCCTAGACCACAACTATTTTTGACTGATAAAATTTCCTTTTTAACTAGTCATTGTTATATTCGTCATGCAAATGTTTGGTTAAATTAATGTAAATAAATTCAGTGATCAAGTACACTGAGTCGAGAATTGGAAGCAGACATAAAAAGGAGAAGTAGCAACTGGAGAGGATTGTTCAGGATTTCGATGGAGAATGTTGGTGGGCTGCCTATGCACCTCCATGAGAGGTAATAGGTGTAAGTAAATAAATTGAAGTCAAGTTTTTTAAGTGTAAAAAACAGTGTGTATATGTATATATACTACTTGCCCATTTAAATCCAAATATGTGAACCAGTATTTGAAACTGCAATTCCCCAGTGCTTTATAAGACACCTTGTTTAATAGTCTGGGTAGTCAAGTATTGATTTCTAATATACACAAATGATAATCAACTAATGAAAAGATGAACCAACTGATGAAATCAGAATCTGGTTGATAGTTGAATATGTGGAAAATCAACTAGTCTGGAACGTACATTAACGAAGAGGACTATCGTTTTAGATGAGTACAATTAATATTCAAGTTTATATTCAATAATAATAACCCATTGTGTCACTGAATAACAATAGAGAGAATTCAACCGGGGAAATTTTCTTTCACCCCCCTATTCTCCTTTAACCGCTTAATTACTTATTACACAACCTTCTTTTATTATTTGAGATATCCAATCACTCTATGATGCAATCCTTTCTTTCTACAGACTTATATATTTTAATAGTCGAATTCATGGGTTAATCTGAGCTAGACCACCATTGAAAACTTGGAAGAATTGGACGACCGTTTCATCCTAGTATGGGACTCCTTAACAGTGCGCATCTACGATCCCATACGCGGGACTCGAACCCGGGACTTTCGGTCTTGCGCGCGAACGCTTAACCCGTAGAAGAGTGAGCCGGCATCCAACAGTGTTACCGTCTCACTTCAATCGATTCACGATATTGTGCGACCGTTCACCATTGTCTTCAGTGAATTACTGTTTCACAACAGACACGGTTGTGAACATTAAATAAAAATTAGCCACAAATCATTTGACAAAATATACATTTAAAACTTTGGAATCCGGCGTAGACGACACGATTAAACCTAAAACAAATACCTACTAGCAATATAAGTAGCAACCTATTTCTTTTTCCAAGTTTGAATACTTAAGGCTATATATAAATTAATCACCATATGAGTTGGTCATTTAGTCAAACAATGTCAATAACTCACATGCAAATGACGGAAGACGAACATTATAATTATATCATGAACGTAACATACTGATAAGAGGGAATTGTATATCGGCTCAAGTAGTCCACACTTGAAATTAGTATGGAGAGACAAAATCAACTGAATTAAAATCGAGAAATGAAAAGTATAAGGCAATAACTAGAAGAGATAACAAAACGTGCGCTGCGACAGCCAATTTTCAGTCAACCCACTGAAGATTTCCAGTCACAGACTATGATTATCTGATGAACAACATGCAGAGAGTCTAGATATACAGGGGAAAGGCTCAATCCAGCAATCAGTGACCTTATAGGACGAAGGTGTCACTAACCTTTTTCTAACTGACACATGCTAGCCACCATTGTACGTAATTATTGTAACTTGTTTATCGAACATAGGTTCGTGCATCGCCTTTAAACTACACTGTTTTCATGAGACTTAGCAATACTGATCCGTTAACAAGAACTAAACAAACATAGCGATGTGGGGACCCATAGTCTAGTTGTTGATGAAAAAGTGCCTCAACCACTGAGTCATCGTTTTACATCCAGATATGTGATAGCTTGGAATGAGTAGCGCATGTCCCAAGCATCTCAGACGATGAAAATTTGTGGTCTCACAGATTGATTTATCACCTTTCAGCAGTATCATACGTGTAACCTCTATGTTACCTATTTGGTATTCCCCGTTAAGTATGCAATGCTTCTAAGACGTCTATGACCGAGTACCAGAAACACATACGTATTCATTAACAATTATAGACTATGTTTTGCAGTTGTCTTTGTAATCCAGGTTTAAAACTGTAAAACCTACTGATAATAGGGACGTATTTCCATTAACTGTCTGTATCTTTGAAGCATCGCTCATGCACGGATGGCGAATCGATTGATGAGGCAGTAAATTTCCATCAACTGAGGTGGCTGGGATAACTGTTACATATGTTCGCCCACCGTATACCTCAGCAAGCGATATTGCCTGGTGTAGAAGTAGGTTGGAAGAAAGATAAGGGTAGTCAAACAAAAGCATGACATCAGTCCATGAACAACTGGACTGAACTATGTTGACAGATGTGGACTACCTGGTTAGGGTTTGCGTGGTTATCATAACAAGTTTTTAAGACTTGGAATGAAATGGTTTAAAGTCGTTTGGGATGGTGTAGGTGCATCCATTGTTTTGTCTTTCCCCGAATTCTACATAATTTTCTTCATTTCATTAATTTACATTTTCCAAAAACGTGTTTTCGATTATTAATATTTTGTATTACCATTAATACTGTTACTGTCTCTACTATTCTGGGATTTGCCCTAAAGGGCCATGGTAACTTGAACCAATGTATATATGTAGTAGGTTCAACGATGCAACTGACTCACTGTGTTCCTCAAGAATGACACCCAGACACAATGAAGAGCGAAATCTATTATAACTGCGTCAAACGATGATGGATTCGGATGAACAAGTAGATATAATGAAATGATTAGGTATCCAATGAAGATTTCTCAGCCGTAAGTTGCATGAAAGAGACAGTATTGTATACAGATCTTTGATCTACACCATTTTTGATACAGTTATCGTTGGTTTTTTTACGTGGCCTTTTGCATTTACAAAGTCTAAACTTAAATACTAAAACTAGCTACTGATGACGCAAGTCCGTACAAAGCTGTCGCTCTTTTTTGTGTACCTGTCTGAACCTCTACGTTTTGATAAGCGAAATCTTTACCCTGTCGGTAAGGTAGGAATAAACTGGTTGTATCAAATACTGGTGCTTAGTATCCATTTCAGCTAGGTTCAAAACTAAATATCAACTCATTGGAAAGTGCATCCAAGATTATTTGGAAATGACAACCACACAGTTGTTGCTCTAAAGCATTTTCCTAATAAATACTGAGCTTCTGTAGACTATCGGGATATTTTTGATATCAACTGGATTCTCCCAGTGGATGGTGTGGATATTATTGTTTGCATGTAACATATTCACCAAGTAAGGGATTATATTGTCGGTTTTGAGATACACTTCGTGTGAGAGTTATTGATACCACTTAGAAATCCATATTAATGTGGGTATGGCCGGGTAGAAAAGCAAGAACAACTGGTTGTAAGTCCACTATACGAAAAACCTCACTTTTGCGCGAGTCTAGATAGAATTTGCGTTGAGACTACAGTCTATGGACGAACCAATCAGATTTAGGATAACAAGTTTTGGATTTCGGTGCGAAATTCATCCATTCATATGGTTAAATAGCATTTTGGAAGTTTAGCTGATATCAGTTCGTGACGAGAACACTAAATCTAATTTTTAACCCAACGTTCAACTGTAAATTTTAATCTTAATTCTTTACACTAATATATAACTCTGATTTAGGTGGACATTACAAGGTCATTTTAGCGTTGCTAAAAAGTCCTCCATATATTGTAGTCTCACCGAATCCGTAGATGGTGCAGTAGAAATTAGTTCCATACTAATAAACGGTTCCAAGTGTGGTATAAACTTACAATATTGAGAAGTAACTTAGCATGATTAAAAAGGGGATGTACTTTTTCTCATTACTGGGGACGAACCACTGGAAAAATCGGAGAGGTTCATATATCTAGATAGCTTATCAATGAGAATGTAGATGAGATCAACTTTTGTACAACAAAAGCATGGCAAACTACGTATATCTAGATCGTCTTTGGAAAATTAGCAGTCACCTTGGGTACAAAAGGTGTGTACAATTCCTTCGAATGGGTAGATTTGCTTTATGTAAGTGACTTGATAGCTTTAAGATGATATTTGATTATTACTGACTTCATTGGATTACTGTTCCTACACTTCTTCAGTGACCCAGGTTGTTGTAACTGTGAAATGAACCTACAAATAGTATTCATAACATTTATTATAATCGGTCAACCATAGGAAACGTCGAACGTAGCATATACGTGCATCGACTCAAGTTGTTGTAATATACCAGCACACCCTGGAGGCAGTGCGTTCGCACTCACTTTTGCCCACAAATGCCCTGGTACGGCCAAGAGTGGGGAGTCACCTCTCCCTCTCGAAATACTCTCATATGGCCGGCGAATATATAGCCTCTGACAGGGAAGTCCTACTCACTGCCTTCTCGTGGCGGGGGTGTTGTGTACGAAAGTGAGAGGACGAAAAGCGAATGTCCGGCGCTTTAACCGGGTTGGTGGATATGGAGGGTCCACCTAGGGGAGTTGGAAAACCCTGATTCCAAACCAAAAGTGCACATGGGCTCCAGTATCCTGAGGGAACAAATGGCGTACGAATCAACCGTTGATCACCGGCTACCATGGGACTGCATCTCCTCATGATGCTCCACTGCCTTGTGGATCAGATATTCAGGTCAAAGGCTCCGGGTGTGGCCCCCTAAGAAAACCATCTGCTTCAGTCTGGGCACCTGGGCAGCATCACAGCCCTCACACAAATGGAATGAGATTTGTGAGGCGCATATGTATCTGGTGCTTCCTTGTACCAATATTTATGTGTTTAAATAAATAAATAAATAAAAACAGATAAATTTAGGAAAATTCTGGGGTAGCATATGTGAGAAAAAACCAGTGGTAGTAAAAAGGGTTAGACATAGACAGTATGATTTAAGGAAGCATAAGCCGCAAAATGATCTAAAAACTCGAAATCTAAAGTTAGACAAGTGAATGCATTAGGGTTGTTTCAACCAATTCTTAGACATATAACACATCTCTAATCATTAGTCACGATAATTGTGCAGACCCCAGAAAGGCAGTCAGCACTTACTCACTAATGTTGACCCAACAGTCAATGACTTTGTGCAATGATGCTATCTTTCTGTTTAAGCGCCCTCTGGCATTCCTTTAATCTACTCCTACACCAGCAAATCAAGCATTAAGATAGATGGATGGGAATATGTGCTACATATCTCAATCACCTTAGTTGGCAGAGATTCACTATCTAACCAACCGATTTGCTATCTTTACATAGTACCTTGAACTTATCCTCAGTTTTACTCACACAGCAGCATTAACATAAGTGAGCAAGGTTTTAAAGTCATTTACGATCAAATGTCAGTAAATCATAAATGCCTGATCTGATTGGATTATATTTAACTTAGGCGATATAATATACTCAGTCATTTTGTGACATGAAAAGTGTGCTTACAAGCACAGACGTTATATTATTGCAGGAGTGTTCATATTTTATGTTTACGGAACTCCTATGAGTTAGTCTATCATTTTTTTACGGAATAACTCACACTTTCGATGTACAAACGTCAAATAATGAAAAGTTAATGAGAACGGAAAATTATTCATCAGAAATAATTCCTGACTAATATACACATAAAAAACAACTTGAACCAGTGCGTGGTGAATAAACTATGATACTACTTTCTAAGACGAGAGAACAAGCTGTGTACTGAAGGAAAAACCCAACCAAGTATCAGATTTATCAAAGCAATCTGTATTACTCTCGCCTTGATTAACTAAACCAAAAATAATATCCGACAGTATCTGGTGTTGATAAGGTTAGTTGAGCATCTAACCTTGGCTCGTTACGTTTGGGGTTCTTCCTAAAATCCAAAGAAGTTCGGTAGTGTTTTTTACAAAGTTTCGTAAAAGGGGGGGCAAACCCAAAGTTTCCCCAAACAACTTGGGGATTTTCTCCAGACCTAGAGAAATATCGGTCTTATTGTTACCTCTCCAAAGTTTTCTATCGTGACTTCTGCAAGACTAACCCAAAACAGATAAAAAATTTCCCCAAAATAAGAAAATTGGGGAAGTATCCTGTACAATAGGGGAAGTATCGCATTCTACCACATATAACATTAAGTGTCTAAAATACATAAGCAAGCATGTTGTAATCTCTTTAAAAAGAAATAAACCACTTAAAAGGAATGTAAAAACGGTAAGCATTTTACATTTAGTCTACGATCCTCTTGTGACACAATTGTTAATCGTACATTACCTATTACCATTGCTTTCAATTAGTTGACCCCTAGGCTGTAATTGACTTAAGATTATAAAATTGATAAGTAAACAAAATTGGACTAACACAAGACGAGTTTGTGAATCCCCGACCGGCATTCCTGGAACGCAAATACGTCAACTGGAGAGTGAGGTTGTATTTCCCCCCTCCGGCGATATAGATCTCAGTGGTGGTTTTAAACAATGCGCTTAAGTTTTCGCAAGTGGCATGGTCATATGAGGTGTCAAATGTTCATCTAATAGTACGGGTACAATTCCATCCTAACATGCTTTATATATTATTTTTTAACACGAAGTGGAAAGTAAAATTTATAGTAGATTCACTGCTGCAATTGTTTATTCTTGAGAGCTATTTCCGATAGACGTTCTGAAAAAAATGTTGTGGTTCACACAGGAAATTGAGCTAAGATTATACCTAATAAGAGTTTATGGTCCGTCACTGTAAGTTATTTGTTGTAGTGAAAATTTGCCAACTTTTATAACACCAATTAAAGCACTTGTTTGATCAGCTGGTAAACCCTAGATGAAGATCATAGAAAAATTTTAGTAACAACGAATTTACGGTGATTTTGAAGACTAATAACGAAAAGTATTACATCGCTTCATCCTCAACTTATGGTAGATAATGGATAGACAAAACGCTTAGTGATTTCCAGAATGTATATCCCATCCACTTCCAAACAGATGAGTTTAGAGCACGCAAAAAGCGAACATACATAGACTAGAATTATCTAACCTTTAACTATCATCAATATTAAAAACGGTGACTTTACATGAAAAGAAGGGAAAATTTCTTTTTAGGGAACGTTCCTGATCCCAAATCCACAAACGTTTAGAATTATCCATGGGTTAAGCACACTGTCGCCTTTGCGTCTACCATAAACTGTTGTCGCAGAAATGACCAATGTGCATATTAATTTCGTCATGCGACACCTCATACTCGTGCACCTCTCAACATCCATATAACTAAACTAGTAACTCAAGGACTATGACACCATTGCTCCCATCATGACATATATTTTACAATACATTCCTGCTGCGACTATTCCCACGGCTATCTAAAATTTATAGATTTAGAGCATTTCGGACACTCATTCGTTTCTTTGATCTTAGCGTCTGGAAAATAAATCAAAATTGGTACTCCAAAGCTCAGCACTCTCCTCTCGTGTATCAGCTGCAGCAGCCAAATTTTGAGGAATAAATAGTTCACTAGTTCCAACTGGCAAAGTTTGACGTCTCAAGTTATCTAGATTAACCACATTAACTGATAACTTAAACCATAATTTATTTTTATAACATACGAATAGGATGACGAAAACGATGGTATACATGTTTCTTATCAAGTGAATGTTCATTTGAATTAAAAATACCTGAAGTTTAAATCCACATTTTCCGAATTTCATGATGGTGAACTGATTCTGCAGAAGAGATTAAATCATCCACAAAATTAATGTGCTATGAGTTGGAATGGAAATACTCATTAATGTAATGAAGATGATTTGTGGAATTGTGGTCTACTTCGTTGTTAATGCTGCTCTAATAATAGACCTAGTCCTGAAATTGTAGATTTGTCATGATGTGACTACCTAATTTATAAGATTTTACATGGAAAGCACATCATTGTCTACACTGACTCATCTCATCGTAACAATCACCAATATAGGATGGGGAACACATTTAGGCTGGAAATAGAACAATATATTTGATATGAATAAAAAAGTTGTTACACAGAATGATCACAACCGCAAGGCTAAGCCGTACCATCCAATAAATTGATTTTCGAAAGAATGTTCACGCGTTCACCATTATTGACCTTCTCGTAGTGTTACACGTTGAAAGTTTATTTTCCCAGTTATCTCATATTCAGCTTTTGAGGATTGTAGTTCAGACCAATACCACTACAGGGTAACTATGAGTCAGTCAAAGATTCGAAGGAATTACAGTAACCAGCAGTAAGCTACATAACTAGTTGAGAAGTCGTATCCGTTTTATTCTGTGTGTCAAGAGGATTATAGTATACTATAAACATTCATAAGTTATCTAGCATTCATTCTTGGCAAGGCTCTTAGGTCAGATTGCTCTTTTTGCTCGAACATAATATGGATAGCTTGTCATGAATATGCATTATATTTCGAATCCATGTCTAAATATTGTGTTTAACATTTCAAACTTTCATACAGTAGATCTATCAAAAATGCTTTTTGTTTGCATTGTAGTATAGTTGCACTTTTAAACAATAATGTTTCTGATTTTGTGGACGTTGTTGATGCCTTTCGTGTTAAGTCCGAAATCTGCTCTGGTCCGGTCCTCAAGCTCAGCCGATTGATATACTGGTAACCTAAGGCCCAAATAACAAGAAAACCAACTTCCGGTTTGGGTACTAAAACGTCATTCATAAATTACGAGTAATGTAGCCAAATATATTGTTGAAAGAATTATTATAATAGATTTCAAAACATAAATTCAATTTTCAGGTTTCGAAAGCCAAATTTCCAAAATACAAGGCGAAACGGTGTGAAACAGGAGACAGCCAAGGTCGAAATTATAAAAGGCAAGTTCTAAGCTTTGATAAAACGTATATCTAAACACTCAGTGAAAATAATTACATTCACAGTGATAGTTAGTAGTCAGTTAAATACGTCTAGTTTTTCCTGCAACCCTTGATATTATGTTCTGTTGTGATATGCAGTATTAGGCTGGTTAGTTCAGTGGATTAAAAATAATCACCGACTAACGGTCCAATATTGATAGCCCTTTACTGCCAGAATACAGAGAAACTTCCAAGTTCGCTTAACTTCTACAATACTTTTGAGCACAGAGGCTCTGCCGTAACTCCAAATCTGTCATAACTAAGTATTTATTTGTAAAACTTCAAGTAATATAAAAGCATACAGTACTTTTTAGACAAAAGATCGAAAATTACTCAGCTTTTTGTGTTACCAAAAGTATGGCAACTAAGGTTTGACGTACATTTGAACTTGAAACGGTGAGACCATAATTTGTGGACAATCTTTGAGCGACACTAAAGTGGCTTTAAGAATGTTCACCTACTTACATGGGCTAAATGAAGGCTATAATCCGGTGTGGAGAATTAAGATTATGATTTTAAGTTGAATGTTAATGATAGAAATTAGGTTCGGAGTTCTTACCTAAAATTACCTAAAATACTAAAACGCTACTCAGTCAAATGTATGAATGAATTTCATGCCGAGATCCAAGACTCGTTATCTTATATCTGGTTGGTTCATCCATAAATTATAGTCTCTGGCCTTCGAAACTATTCAAGCAACTGAAAGAGAAGATAATGATAAACAGTCACCAGGAATCCTAAATGATAATAAATTCAGTGAAAAAAAGTAACATCTTTGCATTAGTACAATATAGATCAGTTGAATTCAGGTAATTTCTGCAAGTATCAAAGAGTTTAAGAATAGTAAATTAAAATAATCCTCCAATTATCTAAAGGAATGTTGTAAATAATCATAAGACGTTTTTGTAAATTAATTATATTATTGATGACATGGTGTAGTAGTAACCATAAGTTAGGGGAAAAGACAAATATAAACATAGAAAATAAGTGGTGAAAACGAGCAAAAAGACATAAACATTATGTCTCACAGCTAGACTATAATTTATGGACGAACCAATTAGATTTTGGATAACAGGTTTTGGGTTTCGGCCCGAAATTCATTCACCAGTTTGGCTAAATAGAGTTTTGATATTTTAGCTGATATCAGTTCGTAATGAAAATCATTAATCCAATTATTAATCGTAGTCATCAACTGTAAATCATAATCACTGTTCTTCAAAATGCCTCATAATCTTCATTTAACTCTAGTAAGCAGATGGACATTCTCAAGCTCGCTTTAGCGTCACTCAATGGTCGACCATAAATTATAGTCTAACCAGTATCAATTCTTAAAATTGATCAAATTCTATCTCTTCGACGCTCATGAAATAACGTTTCCTTTTTATTTGTGCATATCATAAAATTTTCTAATTTCTCTCTAGTTCTGTCCTGCAGTTAATATTCAGCTGTTAGAAATGGCCATTGATTATGACAATATTGTTGAATGAAGTATATTTTATGAAATTGGTTGGAAGTTTCTAGAAAATAGTTGTAATGGAAATTGATAATATGGCAAACTTCTTTGACGAGCAGCGTGTGAAAATTGATTATTTGTTTACAGTTTAAGATGATCTACGTTGATGATCTATGTCAAAATGATTGGGGGCCTACTATAGTTAGACGAGAATGGTGACGAACCAACTAACGCTGAAGTCACACCTCGCGATCAGCCCTTACGTGGTTTTAACCATCGACGCATCAAAGGATCATGGACGCTATGGAGACTGTACAACACAAAGGACGTTATTACAAGAATATATTAGTTAAGGTACAACCACGAAAGTACAGAAGTAAAAGAACAACCACTGCGGCGCGGGCCAGTCCATGGCGTATATTTCATTGATGCGCGTTGACTATCCGTGACCTTGACAGGGATCAATGATCTGTTCAATATTCAGTGACCCTACAACAGAACCGATCCTTAAACAGATCTCATAATAAACGATTATTGAATAACTGACAAAATATATAATAAAATCACAGTTATTATTAAAAACTATTCTATTCTACGGTCTTACTTTATGAAATCATTGACTGTTAGTTTGAACTATTTTGGTACATGCAGATTACATGGCTGGATCTGCATGATAACCGCAATCTACTGCTCGTAGTAGGTAATATTCTTTTGCATCCAGTTGATTGTAATTTATAAAATACTGTTTTCATGCAGTCAAGTTTGAACAACACTCGAATAATCATATGAGACTTAAAGAGTGACATTACATCCACTTGTAGGAAATAAAGTTAGTGTGAAGGAGAGTGGGGTTCGAACATGTGATCTATTGTTTTTTTTCTAAAACTGTCGAATACTTTGATGAATAATTAAGCAACTAATCTACGGAATAACCACTATTAGTAATCCTCATTTTACTCAAATTTTGTAGACCGGTAGTATTGTAACCTTACGAAACGTTGGTTTAAAAGAAAGGTGAAAGATATAATACATAAGTATATTTTATGCATGCAACATTCAATGGAAAGGAAAGAAGGTATTCAAACCCTTAAAGACATTGACAATATTAATTTCATTCAATAAATTTGTTCTTGACCCTAATTCCCGTTTGTAGTTTTGTTTTGATCATTATTTTGTCATTTTCAACGGTAATCAGTTATTAATATCCATTAACAACAAATGCTCAGTTTTGTCTCTGGCAAGTCGACAACATCCTTAAATCTTAACCCTAAACCTGTGACTCTGAAACGAACACAAGAGTTAATCCGCTAGCACATTTTGCATTTTTGTGTGAAATTCATTCATACACTTTCACATTGTAGCTAGTATCAGATCGTATTGAAAACTCTAACCTTGATCAATAATTTTATGAGGACTCTTCAAAATCAATTTTAATCTTTATAAAGTTTCAAGAAGGCTGATGATCTCTATCCATAAGAACGTACTTCTATGTAGTTGTATTCCATTTACATAAAAAACAGTAGAAAATTTAAACAAACCCATGATTGATTATGAACTAGCTGAAAATTCACTTCAGTTATTTATAACCAATAGTCTGATTAGTTGGCTTTCAAGGTCATAAATATACGAATGATTTGATTGGTTATAAAATACTTCTTTCCAATTTATCACAATATGATTGGTTAATTTTATTCTTTTGTAAATACATTGGTAATATGATATATAAGTTATAAATGTAACACATATGTTAAATATTTAAAAAACATGAAATAGGAACAATTCCAACCAAACAATTTCATATTTCCGAAAGGGAGTTTTGTGGAGATTTTAGTAATTTTATATAGTTGAAATCATGAGTCAATTGAAGTTAGACATTAACACCATTGAATACCGGTGGTCATGTGGTTAAGCGCTCGCGCGCAAAACTGATAGGTTCCGGTATTCGAATCTCGTGAGGCAGGATCGTGGATGCGCACTGCCACTAAGGAGTTCCATACTAGGACGAAACGGTCGTCCAGTACTTCCAAGTTTCCCACGATGGTCTACCTTCAATTGACTCATGATTTCTACTATATAAAATTTCATACTTCATTTTGAAAATTAGTTTATTTCCTTTATACGCGTTTTCCTTTTTCAATAATTAAACAGCAAAATTTGAAAATAATCAACAACAACAAAAAAAGTAACAATAATGAGCAAAACTTTATTTAAGAAGCATGAACATGTAGGTTGTTTAAATTATTATGTTTTTCTTGGGAGAAAAAAATTTTTTTTCCCTTGGATCATATTAACAAGCGAAAAAATGGAAATAAATAAAAATAAGTAAGATTTTATCTAGATGAAAAGAAAAATGATTAAATTTACAAGTGGAAAATAATCATAGAAACATATCAGAAACAAAATGAACAAGATGGTTGAAGTGTACATCATTTCATTTGTAAAAGTACATTGAACCAGAAGGAAGGTGAATATATGTATGTATGTATGTATGTATGTATGTATGCATGTATGTATGTATGTATGTATGGGTATGCGTGCGGGTTCGTGCAAGAGAGAAGCCAATTAAACTTGTAAATAACGGTATCGAAGAGTACGAAAGTATAGTTCATCATCAAATGTTTTGTTCATAAAAAAGGGTAAAGGATTGATGGACAGAGAGATTTATTATTCAATAAAGAATAGAATATTATATAAGTGGGGAGAAATGATAAACCTAAATATTTTTATGCTCCATAGCAAAATAAAGGAAGCAATTATTCTTATTATTACCAAGGTTATTGCATAGATCAATATTGTATAATGAAGCGTTTGTAAGACCTGAAATAACTCAGAATTTCAATATAAATCTGGACATTTACTCCAATCTCTTTTCCAATAATCACCGGTTATTAACCATTCTTCTTGTTTAGTAAATGGATTCACTGATGGAATAAACCATAAAGGATTAACAATTTGATTACAATTATTATTACTACTTATATCCGATGTAGTAGTAGTAGTGGAAGTGCAAGAATTCTTATCATTGTCATTGTCATCAGCTGGTGTAGAACGATGCCCAGTTGAATTAGATGAAAATGCTTTTTTAAAAGGATTATTTGTAAAGAATTGTTTAGCTGTATTATTCACTGTAGTACTATTCATACCTGTAGAAGTTAGATTTAACTCTTTACCAGTCGACTTATGATTATTTGAGATTGGCCAATTGAAATTAGAGATTTTCCGTAGACCATTTAATGACTTACGCTTATGACGTTGTTTTTCTTCTAAACGTAACTTTTCAACGGCAGCTTCGTCTAGAAGCAACAAATTAAAAAAACAGTAGAATTTAAAGGAAAGGATTAGAGAAAATAATATAGCATATTTATTTCATTTATTTATTTAAACACATAAACATTGATACAAGGAGACACCAAATACATATGTGCCACAATTCGTCATCCGATTTGTGTGAGGGCTGAAATAATACCCGAGTGCCCAAACTGAAGCAGGCGGTATTGTTAGAAGGCCACTTCCCGAGCCTTTGACCTAAAAGACTAATCTATAAGGCAGTGGAGTAACGTGAGGAGGTGAAGTCTCATGGTAGCCGGTGACCGACAATAGGCTCATACTTCATTTGTTCCATCAGGATCCTGGAGCTCATATGCACCATTGGTTTGGAATTAGGGTTTTACAACTCCCCTCGGTGGATCCTTCGTACCCACTACCCGGTCAAAGCTCTGAACATTTGCACTTTGTCCTCTTTATTTCGTAAACATCCCCGTCGCCGGAAGTCTTTGAATAGGACTTTTATGAAAGTGGATGTATATGCGTGGATATGAGAGGGTATTTCGAGAGGGAGAGATGGTTCTCCTCGCCCTCAGTCATACCAGGGCATTTGGGGGAATAGTATGTGTAATATAGTATATTAGGGATAGAGCCAATCAAAACCGAAAAAATAATTCTTAGGTTTTTAAATAAGCTTCAAAAATGAATAACAGTTTCTCGATAGTGCTCAGATTGTTTAAAATTTGTAGGAAAATTTTTTCTTGACATTATGGAGTTAAATGATAAGTGCATCAATTGCTTGCTTTTCAATGGATAGATATTACATAACACATGAATCAATTAGGTTAAGCTAAAAATTCATTTTATTTACAGTAAAACTCGGAGAGAAATCAGTTTACTGATGATTCATAGGATAATAAGTGAGCTAGTGAAGTAGGAATGTTAAAACAGACAACAGTTTTTCCACAGGATGTCTTCATATCGATAAGGTTGTAGATATATTTCTCGCACGATTTCACCTTAGTAAGCATGCACAGAATTTGATGATAGAGATTTTACAGGAGATGATGAACTTTTTGCAACGCTGTTTTTGTGACTCACAGACAGATGCTGAAAGGCATTTCTAAGATAAATATATTCACCCTTGGACGAGTGTCGTTATCCAGAGATATTTCTACAAAATTAAGGTTGGATAAAAAGTTAATAACCCTTGGAAAACCAACGGACATTCCAAAACCCTTAGACTCTAACAATTTTTAATTTCATTTGTTGGGAATTACTTTAGATTTATACAGACTCACCGATTATCAGTTAAAATTTGGCTTCGAAATCAAGTCGTTATTCTAAGAATCATTTAGGCTTATCTTCACAATACAACCACTGAGAAACAGAAAACACAATGCAGGTGCTTCGTCCTCGTATAAGATTCCTGAAAACTGCGCACCCATGATCACACTGGGAATCAAAATACGAACCTTCATATTTCGTGGTGAGTTTTTAACCTAAATAAGATCAGTCCGTAATGCAAACTATGAAATACAACAATCACTACAATTCTCAAAGTTCAAGTGAGCGACAACAACCAGTACACTTCAACCATTTGGGGAGTGAGACAAACATCACCAGAGACAATGGCTAATGGTGGGGGGATATCACGAACTGACTGAAATTACACATGTGAATAATGGAACGCCGTGACCTATGATGTAAAGTTTAAGTGTTCATTATGAGATATAAATGTCCTGGGTTTAATCCTCAGTGCGGCTGTGAATGTGCACTACCTAGAAGTCCCATATATAACTTTACTTAGTAAATCCTTTGCAATTTAATGGTTTGCAATGATAGTGGAATCCCAAGGGCCTAAACACAGATAATTAAAGTGGATTAGTGTAAGATGATACTAGTTTCCATGACTTCTAGTTAACTACGAATGAGTTGTATAGCTTAAAGCCGTTTCACGTTTGATTGCCCTAGTGCCTCTCAACCACACCTGTATGATCATTTAGTATTTCAAGTTAAAAAATAAATCACAGGACGATCTAACATGGTGAAATAATTTTGAGGTAGACACTCGCTGTCATATCCATTACTAACAACTTGTGCAACTCGCTTTAAATATTTACTGGAAGCGCCATATATATATATATATATATATATATATATATATATATATATTCCACAACGGTAAAAGTGGGAATCAATAACAATCATACTCACCAATAAGACCCATTTCAAATAAACGTATATCTGGACGATATCTGGAATCTGTCGGAGGTAGAAACTGTTCATACATTGAATTTTTTTGACATGGAATTACTTCCCTATGGTTATTTGTACAATTCGACATGATCACGCTTGAATTTTTTTGACTATCAGTGATATTATCATTACTTATTTTCGATTTACGGATTGTTAATTCATTTAAACCCATTGTGTACTGTGTAAAATTATAGTAGTCCTTTGAATTAATTGGTTTCGGTGTAGCAATCCATAAACAACGTTGCCCAGTTAGTGGTATTTCGAATCCATAATCTAATAATTCAATAGATTCGGAGCTGTTGACTGATTGTCCATCAGCATCATCATTATCATTGTTATTACTGCTTTTCTTTGGCTGGTTTTGTGTGTGAGTGTAATTAGTTCCAAAGATACCCGGGAGCACATCAATTTATGTGTGAAATGATAAGTAAGGAGAATGGAATAAGAACCGACTGATTACTATATACATAATGATGAAATAGAAAGATTATTATACTAGGTAACTTGGTGTAAATAATAACAGTGCAAAGTATTATCACCCCCTCCTATTACTTCACCATGTCTGTTAATAGTTAATATTTCTTCAAGGAATTGATACTTGAAATTAGTGGCCATAATGTTAAAGTGGGAACTATATCTATAAAATACATTACGTGAGTAACCCTATATATGAAATCAAATGTGATTGTAGAAAGAAATGACAATTACGATAGATATTATCATAATGAATCAATGTCTGTTCGCATCTAGTTGATTGTAATTTACAAAATACTGTTTTTATGCAGTCAAGTTTGAACAACACATGAATATTCATATGAGGCTTAGTGAGTGATATTATATCTACTTGTAGGAAATGAAGTTAATGTGAAGGAGAGTGGGGTTTGAATCTGTGGTCTATCGTTTTTTTTAAAACTATCGAATACTTTAATCGGTAATTTTATATAGTTGAGATCATGAGTCAATTGAAGATAAAACCTGGAAGCATTGGACGGTCGTTTCATCCTATTGTGAGACTCCTCAGGAGTGCACATCCACTATTCCGCCTCACAAGATTCGAACCAAGGACCTACCAGTCTCGCGCCAGAGCACTTAACCTCCAGACCATTGAGCTGGCCGGCATCCAACGGTGTTGATGTCTAACTTCAACCAATCCACGAAATTGAGAAACAATTCACCAATGCCTTCAGTGAGTTGATATCTCCCAACAGACCTGGTTGAACTTCACTGGTTACTGCATCTCACTAGAACTCAAGGAAATACCTCATGGAGCAAGTCACTAGTGAGCATATGATCATTATCAGAATGGGGCTTTGTGGAAATTAAGTAACTGCTCTACGGAATAACCACTATTAATAATTCTTATTCTACTTAAATTTAGTCGACCGGTAGTATTGTAACCTTATGAAATGTTGGTTTAAAAGAAAGGTGAAAGATACAATATATAAGTATATTTTATGCATGCAACAATCAATGGAAAGGAAAGAAGGTATTCTAACCCTTAAATACATTGACAATATTAATTTCATTCAATAAATTCGTCCTTGACCCTAATTCCCGTTTGTAGTTTTATTTTCATTATTATTTTGTCATTTTCAACTGTAATCAGTTATTATTATTATTATTATTATTATTATTATTATTATTATTATTATCCATTAACAAGTTTCCACAATGAATACTCAATTTTTTTTATTAAAACCATTACGTTTTTATTTTTGCATAGTTGAAATTATGAGTCCATTGAGGCTAGACCACCATAGAAAACCTGGAAGCACTGGACAGCCGTTTCGTCCTATTGTGGGACTCCTCAGCAGTGCGCATCCACGATCCCGCACCGTGAGCGAGATTCGAACTCAGGACCTACCAGTCTCGCGCCAGAGCACTCAACCGATATACCACTGAGCCGGCATTTTTATTCATATCGGTTAAACAGACAATTATTTTTCATAATTCTAATCCGTAAATTATTTTCATCCTTCTGTAACCCTCTGATTATTATGTAACCTCATTTGATACTTGAATTCTCGGATCACCTGATGATGCAATCTTTTTTCTATCATTCTATAGATTAATGTATTTATCAAACAATTATACATATTAATGTACAGCTTGAGTAAATGATTTCGAAATTCAAAGCAGTTATAATTGGGGTAAGAAAAACTATTTCCTCCTATCCGTTACAATAGTGGAGATGGATTCACCATTCATCATCCTTTAGATCTCAAGTGGTGATACCCCTTCGTACATCCTTAGTCATTCAGCTATTTCGAAGCATATTCTCAATGTTTATTATGTGTAATTATTATTTTTTGTGTTAATATGATATGGCAATGAATGCCAACGAGATTTGTGCCAGGCCCTACATTGATCATAACCTACTAATTGAAAGCAAATACGTGATGAGTGCATACTGTTAATGCAGATTGTAAATTAATTATTTTTGTTTCTTATTTCTTTCTATTGAACAATAGGCATTCGGCTGGCACGGAGTTGAAACATGAAGAACTACTACAACCATCATCAAAAAAGTACAGGTATTTATGAACAGCTGTCTACGCAAGATACTCAATACCAGTCGGTCGGATAACATTAGGAACAATCTACCTTGGTAGAGAATAAAATAACCTCCAGCTGTAGTAGAAATTAAAAAGAAACGCTGGAGATGGACAGGTTGCAGTTTACGGGAATAACCAAACTGCATCACGAGGCAAGCTGTAACGTAGAACTCTTGAAGGCTAAAGGAAAATAAGCAGTTCACAGAGCATATTGCCTCGATAATCGGAAAGAAGGGACCAGGTCAGAATTATTTAAAGATTCCTGGTCGGAGTCTTATGTCCCATGAGGGGTGACAAGTGTAAATAAGTAAGTTCGTATATAAATGTATAAATTGATCACGAATTCCATGCATTTTCTTAGCGAAATATTTTGCATCTCATAAATGATTTATTCATTAGCTATTTCAGTAGTATAAAAAACAGTGAGATAATTTTTAGTATCGCTTAAAATTAACTTATTTACACCAATTCACAAAAGCACAATTTATTAGTTGAAAAAGTATTCCAAAAAAACACCATTTTTTCGGATGATATAGGCTGTATGAAAATCAACTCGTAACTTTATCTATATACCTTAGAAGTTTGTCTTATTTACCCATGTATTAAAGACTAATCACAATCTCATAAATTTTTATTATAAGGTGATTGGAGATGGCCTACTGAAGACCCTAGATCTAGATTTCGTGTTAGTTGGCACTCATTAGTGAAGCGTGCCTGCAATCTTAAGTGAATAATTTCTCTCTGTAGGACTCGAACTACGACACTAGCCACTGTTATTACTACTCAGTGATGAATTGATATAATATTTTATTATAACATACAAGAAATGAAGTATATTATCACTATAACTGTCCCCAAAAGCGTTTTTGGATGACAACTTTTGAATATAAAGTGATTTATACCAAATGAATTTCCCGATGGATTAGTGTAACTAAAATGCTGAACAATCTTATTCGACCCGGAGAACTATATGATATTATCTAATTCTACACTAAATAATTATTTTGAAGTAGATAGTATGAGATTGTCAACTACATTACTGGATTACATAGAAAGATAAAAATTTACAATGTTTCTACATTGGCTAAGCAACTTGAAAGCTCAACACAATTCATCAAAGATTGAATACTCAGAAGTATATGTGGACTAAATAGTTTAGGGACAATAATTTTTAATAAATATTCCATTTGAAGTTTTACATCATGAACTGCGTGTGATCAGACAATCATTGAGAATGAGAAGGCACTGAATAGCTTTTTTATCCTGCTATGAAGATCCTTACCAGTTGTGCCAATCCACGAACCCTCCATGTGGATAAAAGTCATGACACTAAAGTTTCACGGTGAGACATAAAAAAATTCGAATCACTCAGTAGGCACTTAATGGTTTACATTTTTAACTTCAGCCAATTCGCATTATTGCGCAACTCTCATCTAATGAGACTGATGACATTTGTCACACATTTAACATGACTTTACTAGTCACTAATGCCCGTCAGAAATCCGGGGATTACCCTTCCAAATTAACCAGAACGTGGTTAGAAGTATTGTGGAGATTGGTAAATCTGAAATTGTACACCTTAGGCTGACTTTGGTGAGGAATTAAAATCCTGAGTTCTATACCTTATGATAAAACTTCAAATTCAATAATCATAGAAAATTCCAGAAATAACAAAACACTCTGTTCTCTCTGTATAGATGCAGACGAAGACAACTAGTATAGCAGCAGTCTCTGCGTCAGTAGGCCTTAACATACACATGAGAAAAACCAAGATCTTAGAATACAACACGGAGAACACCAACTCAATCACATTTGATGGAGAAACTCTAGAAGAGTTTGAAAGTTTCACATATCTGGATAGCATCATTGATGAACAAGGAAGACATGATGCAGGTGTAGAGGCGAGGATTGGCAAAGTAAGAACAGCGTTCCTACAGTTGATGAACATATGGAACTCAAAACAACTGTCTGTAAGACAATATCAAAGTCAGGATCTCCAATATGAACGTCAAGACAGTTCTATTGTACGGAACTGAAACTTGGAGAATTACACAACCATCAAAAAGGTAGAGGTATTTATAAACAACTGTCTCTTCAAGACACTGAATATCCGTTGACCGGATAACAGCAGCAACAGTTTACTGTAGGGGAGAGAACAAACCAACTTCCATCTGAGGAGGAAATTAGGAAAAGACGTTTGAAGTGTATAGGATACACATTGAGGAAATAATCAAACTGCATCACGAGGCAAGTGCTAACTGGGAATCCTGAAGAGAGACGGAAAAGTAGAATGCCAAAGAATACACTGCGTCGGGAACTTAAAGCATACATCGAAAGGATGAATAGCAACTGAAAAGGATTGCATAGAAAAGAGTTGGATGGAGAATGCTGTTGAATGGCTTATGCTACTCAATAAGAGGTTACAGATGTAAGTAAGCAAGTCATATATCCTTAGTTGAATGCAGATCAAATTACTACTCAGCGATACTATACCACCTATCCAAACAGAATTAGAAATCTAAATGGTTATTTGTTGAGTGTCATAACTATATGCTATATGATAGAGCTAATGATATGGTGGAGCATATTCGTAGCTTAAGATGACAAATTTAGTGGTGTTATATTTACTCAATTAGATAGTTTTATAGTTGTGTTTATGACCTGTATTATTAGTCAACTATGGGAAGCCCTGCTTCTTGACAAAGTTTTTCACAATTTAAAACAGTGAAACATGTATTACACAAATTCGATTCTGAAATGATGGATAATATTGATAGTTTAGCTTAATGGTAAATTTCAATATCCAATAAACAAATTTATTCAAAGCTTATTTCATAATCTACAGGTTTAAACAAATCCAGGGATACTACTACTATTACTACCATCACTACCACTACCACTACTACTGCTACTAATAATAATAATAATAACAATAATAATAATGATAATAAACCATCTAAACAATGGGGATTAAAAAGTGGAAACTTTTGATATTGAAAAGAAAAAAACACACACACATACACACACAATAAAATGATAAAATCAATGATAAAAATCAACACAAACAAATAAATAAACAATAGAAATTACTTAGTTACACTTTTTCAATAAATCGAAATGTAAAATGACGCCGCTGTTGTTGTTATTATTTAATTTTGATTGTAAAAACAAATCAGTGCTGACGTTAAATGGATCAAATCTTTTCAGTTAATAATGGATAAAACGTTTTATTTGAAATAAATGAAAAGTTGTAGGGTTTTTGTTTTAAATGAGAAAATTGTAGAATGATGCGAATTTGAAAAATTCTCACAGAGCTAAAAGTATAGTAGAGATGTCAGTCAATCACAACGCAGTGCAGTAAAGTAATGAGATTTAGTCCCATGGTGGTCGGTGATCAACAATAAGTTCATAATCCATGTTTCCTTAGAATCCTGGAGCTCATGTGTGCCATTGGTTTGGAATCAAGGTTCTCCAAATCTCCTAGGTAGGTCCTCCATTAGGATTTTCCAACTCCCTTAGATGGACCTTACCTGTCTACCAACCAGGTGGATATTCGTTTCTGGTTCTCTCAATTTCATAAACACCTCCGCCACGAGAAGGTAGTGAGTAGGACTTTCCTGGCAGTGGTTGTGCGCACGTGGCAATGTGAGAGCATTTTGAGAGGGAAAGTTGACTCTCCCCACTCTTGGTCATGCCAGGGCATTTGGGGTCAATAAGAGGTCAAGGGAAAGGGTGGACATCGATCAAGAGTATCAAAATGGCAATCTATATAGATTCGAATGTTACCCATATTCTTCACAATTGATTGATCACTGGGTGGTGATCAATCTCATGCATGTCAGGTCCTTCTTTGGGGTGATAGAATGCTATCGATCGAGTTGCAATGTGGCCACCAGTCTAGGTGACCAGCCCTAAGAAGGACCTGACATGCATGAGATTGATCACCGCCCAGTGATCAATCAATTGTGATTACATCTCAGTCCTACAGGAGGTTGGTTGCGGCCAGAATAGATCAGTGGTAACGTCTCTGACTGTGAAGCTGAGTGACGCGGGATCGAATCCGCCAGGGAGCATCAGTTCCCTCAGGATTACAGGTACACCTTGCTGACGAGTGCCAAGTAGCCCGAAACCCGGGTCCAGAGTTTCCTGTTGACCACCTCCAACCACCATCTTACCTATTTTTTCTTAAAATGTGATTCAGTAACCATGTATATCAACTGATAGATTTCAGCTAACAATCACATTTGCAATGTAAAAACTAAGGACACTGATATAGGCGATCGAAAAAATGACGTACGACAACCTTGGATCTAGTATTTTAACTTTTATTAAATGATCACTTTATCACTATGAAAATATAACGGTGAAAACACCGATGACGAGTAATGAAGAATTGCTAATATTAACATAACTCTGAGTAATCAAATCTATATTTGTGTATGATTTTCTTTTAAACCAAGCCCATTGATTTGTCAGATCATAATTGAAACGAAAAAGAAATATAGAATAGGCTACATGGAGATAGACATATAATTCCACATTTCATCATACCAAAACCCCATGTAAACCCATTTTAGTCGGTCAGTTAGTCACAACGTAGAACTTCGTACGTACGTACATCAGTTCGAGTTTCCATACCACATCAACACAAAGATGCAGTTATCGATTCAAATCCCATAGTGGTAGAAGTAGTAAGAGTTTAAGCAGCAATGTGAAAGATTAGGGTTTGAAGATGTTATTGAGGGAGTAGAGATGAGCTAATCAGAGTCGAGAACGTAGAGTAAGAGGTAGAAATACCTTTGTGCCTTGATTAGAATGTTTAAAATGATAACAAGAAATTATTTATTGTCACCATATGCTGAAAATGATAATGTTAAAAATGCACTAAACGTTTGATTCTTTGTCTGTAAACTGTATATAACAGGCAAATGGATCATATCCCTGAACCCGAAATCCTGAAACAAATTTTAACCTATCGGCTTTATATTTTATCAACAAACTGATTTCACAGTGCTATATAGATTTTGGGGGTGAAATTTGTTCATCTATTTGACTAAAAAGCTTTTTTTTCAATACAGCTCATGTCAGTTCGCGATGAAAACCGTAATCCTGACGCTAACCAAGAACACTGCAGGAACTCTTAAAAATCTATTTGTATCCTTTTAAGGTTTGAAGGGAGACGGATAATATAAATTTCTATGAGGGAATCTACTCGTCATCATTTTTACGATTTCAGTCAGTCCAGTCATATGCAATGTAGAATTTAACACATGTGTGTCGACTCAAGTTTTCATGTCATATTAGTACAGTGAGATGAAACTATCAAGACAAATCCCAGAGTAGTAGGAGAAATGACAGTATTAATAGCAGTAGAAAGGCTCACTTGTACCAAAAAAGATATAAAGTGATCATGGGATTTAGGAACTAAGAGAACATAAAGAATGAGTGCATTTATGCCTTTATAAATTCTTCCGAAATATGTTACTCAACGTCTCCGACTACCGACCACGGATATCTCACGGACTCCAATTAGTTAGCTTGAAACTACCCAAGCGAATCAATCTAAAAATGACTTCATGGACCGATGTCACGTCACCGCTAGGTTCCTTTCAATCTATTCCTACAAAAGACAACATCGCTCATCTAGGAAGGCGGTGGTTAGGGATATGTAACACATGTCCTAACCACCTTAACTGATGAAGATTCACAACTTCATCAATCAAATTTCCATCTAAATTCTCTAAGGTTAATTTTAAGCTTCTACCTATATGATACTCTGAATAGATTTTTATTAGAATCTTCATATCAAACAAATGTAATTTAAGTGACCAGTTGTAAAGGTTCAAGCGAAAAATACTGAACAGCACATATTTTGGTTTAGATCTTTCACAGCTGGATTTTAATGGTAAGACAAACCCAGAAGTTTTCACATATTCGTTTTTTGTCGATTTTTTATGATTTGAAAGGTTTATGGGGACAGCTCCTTAATGATCGCTGGTTTACAATGATTTCGTCTAGCTGACGTCAGCAAACGTTGATGATTATACAAAAATTTCAATGGAATCATTTAAAATAATATTTGTGCATTTGAAGATGGATTTTCGGAACAAATCTAATTAAAAGCTGTAACCTGTGTAGCCATATACAGAGTTATGGGAGAAGCAACTCATTGAAGAGATAGGATGAGAATTATCTAATGTACAGAGATTTGTTTGAAGTCATAAAAAGTGATCGGTAAAACCTCAGCTCAGAAAATAATGTACACCAAGAAATGCAATGATCTTGTAGTTCAGTACCCTTGTAGGGTTGTATTATGTGTACTATTATGAAGTTTCAAACAAGGGCAAGACAACAGTGAACATCATGAACAAACAACCTTGGAGAATGGGGGATTACTACCATCTGCTTCACATATGGCGATTCCATATAAACAATATCACACAAAAACCTATGAAATCCAATCACCAGATAAAGTTTAATAGCGTATTAAACTTGTCAAAAGCTAAAAAAATGACATTCTTTATCGTCACAGAATTAGCAGTTCCTCATTTACTGTCAATAAAATTGGTCAATTAGACTCAAAATGGCAAAAAGGAATAATTGCGTTTAAAAAGATACTCGGTGAACACTGAATATTCTTATCTAATACAGTTTGAGGTTACATTTTTCACAGTTTGCAAGGTTCCTTAGCCTTGAATTGATTAAAAGACTGAATAAGAATATGGAATCTGTAAGAAAATTTGCTAATTGCATAATTATAGCAAACAGAAACGTTGGGGTTTGGTTTAAATAGAATGCAAACATTATCACTTACATCAATGATTTCCTCCTTTTCATTCCAAACATTCGGTTCGACTGTGAATAGACCACGAGACCAATTACCAAAAATTATTCGTTTTAATGCATATGAATTACTATGATGATTAAATATATTTTTACTGATAGTATTAGTAGTAGTATTAGCAGTAGTATTATGAGATGTATTTGAAGCTGAAACTGCTTGCATTTTATCTAATGTTGATGGAGCATATAATTCACCGGTAACACGATTACAACCATGTCCAGACCAATTGGATGAATGAAATTCTAACTGACAATATAATCCTAACGAATGATTGGTGATGCGTAATGTGCCAGTCTGTAAGAATTCGATAGAAAAATGACCAGAAAAGTGGAACAAAATAAAACGAAAGCGTAATGGTAGTTATAAAAAATAATGGTTTTTAATAGATTACCTGACGAATTGGTTTTTGTTAGACAATCATTGAAAACCTAGAAGCACCAGAGTTGTTTCGTCCCAATATAAGACTCCTCGACACTGAGCATCCACGACTTTATCAGATGTCGAACAATTATGTGTTCACTAATAACTAATTTCGAGAATTAATTCCCGAAGTTCTTGTGAGAAGTCTTGATCAGTGAAGTTCAACTATGTTAGGTATGACACAGTTATCCACAAATGGTATTGGAGGATACTTGTGTGATTTCACGAATTGATTGAAGTTAGAAGTAAAAGCCATTGGATGCAAGCTACTCAATGGTTTAAAGGTTAAGTGCTCGCCGCAAGATATGAGAATCTTCGATCTTGTCCCCAGCGGGATCGTAGATGAGAATCAGAGTTCTAAAAACTTTAAGAAACTCTAGAAAATAACTCATTATACTCTTTCTAAATCTGATCATACAGTTGATAAAAATGTTATCTTAATCCTAATATCTTTTGTCATATCTTTAATATCAATGTCATCTACAATTCTACAAATGTTCTTTTTATTTGAGTTTTGACTAACGTTCAAAGTAAAGCTTCTTCAATACATTTGAACATGTGTTTTTATCAAGGATTCAAGTACTTAATAATTAATCTAGCAAGTCAATATCTTGAAATTTCAGTGTACAAAATGTATCAAGACGTAATATATATCGTAATTAGTCGGAAACTTTCCTGATAAACACTGATAAGGTATATTTAATACGCAGTTAGAATGCGGAGATAACTTTTGTCACAAATTGTCAGTAGATGAAGAACTGTAGAGAATAAAATAGGAATGAGTAGTAGTTTCGTCTTAGTTTAAGACTCCTTGATAGTGTCAACTCATAGTAGACGAAATAGTTCCAAGAACATTCAATTCTTATGAGTTGAAACTTAATGGTTCACAATTACTGGTAAGCTTCCGATTCGTTTCTGAATTAGTATATTACGCGGGCTACAGATTTACTGTGGATGTTCAGAAAATACATCATTTAGTTAACAACTGGACCACATTGGTAAACTGACCTTCTACATGGAAATTTTGTGTAAATAATTTACAATCTATTCAATAAAGGTGTTGGAGTATGGAATTGAACTGAACTGAATCACGCAGAATCACCAATGTCCGGTTCTCTGAGTGGTACAATTTTAGCAAGATTTAGTGTATTAATGATTGGTCAATTCAATCAGAAGTAAATAATGGTTGTACATATCATTGAGAATAGCTAACAGTTAAGTGGACTATTGTTTATCGTAAAATAAAGCAATATATTCATATAGTGGGTTTGTGGAGATTGTTTATTCTTACATTTTAAATCACAGAACCACTAGATAGCTTTTTCGTCATAGGGATAAGACGTCTCAGCTGTGTCTATCAATGATCTTACAGGGGATTAGACCAAAAACCTTCAGATCTTACGGCGAACGCTAAGTTGACGCATATGACAACAAGTTTGTTAATATTCAATTAAATTGGTGATTACTAAACAGATATCTATAGTGGGGGAGGGTGGAGGTTGGCAGCAGTCATTATCCCTGGTTACCCAAACAAAATGAGACGAGGTAGGACTCGAACCTGGGACTATTAGTTAAAAGTCAGAATATTTAATCATCACTAATTAATTGTTTCACATTTGAAGTGATGACATATGTTCATCTTACTTTCATTCTTCACTTAATGTGTATCATAGTTACTGATATTATATCATGAAATTAACAGGACTGTTCTAAATAGAAATTACTGTACACACACATAAGCAATAAATAGGCCATAACAACAAGTAGACTTACATGTTCCACCCAAATTTTACCAGTCAATATATTATGTAATGTTAAATTGACATTTTGCCATGTATATGATTCATTAAAATGGTATAATTGTAATGTAACTAATCCTTTCGGTTGAACGTCAACTGATTTACCCCAAAAACGTAATTTAAATTGTATAGTAGCACGTAAACTATAATTATCTGATTCAACATGAAAAGCTGTGATTGGTGGATGATGAGACACCTTGGGATGTGAATGAGGAGGAATATGGATGTAGATAATAACAAAGAAACAATGAGTGAATGTTTAGTATAAGAGAATTTGTAGTAATAGTCTGATTTTATAGTTTATACTGTCGGCTGATTTTAGTTAGAAGATCATTGAAAACTAGGAACTAATAGATAACTGTTTCTTCTTAGCATGGAACTCCTCAGTAGTGCTCATTCACAGCTTTATTAGGGATCGAACCCATGAACTTCAGGTTTCACAAAAAACAAACAGAATTCTAGTGAGCCAGGTATGAAGCAATTATCTACCAACAACATTCGAAAGTGGTTGCGCAACATTGGAAGTTAATTGAGATGAAACATGCAAACTATGAGATACCGACTCAATGGTCTAAAGGTTAAATGCTCAACATGAGTTCTGAGGATCATGGGTTCGATAACCAGTGAGTTCGTTGATGCACACTGCTGAAGAGTTCCATACTAGGAAAAAACAGCTGTCCAGTTATTTTTTGTTTTTATATGAGTGAATCAATCAATCAATAAATAACACTAATAATGAAGTATTCATTTAATCATTATGTAAGTAGTTTGCGAATTGATGTCAAGCATAGAACAATACTTTGCAGTAGCCTACTTAAACCCTTGGACCAACTAACATTTTTATTAAACTGTGCAAATATTACGGTTGAATTTTTCTAATTTGTTTTGACCGATTACTTATCCATGATAAATGCATGGTGCCCTCACGTGCTCTAACAGAAAAGAAACTCTACAAACTTAGGGCTGTGATAGTTAGGAATAACTTTATTATAATGGTTGGTATATTTTCCTTGTTAATAGTCCTTTGAAAAGAAGAGTGAAGAGAAGAATACAAGAGATAATTTTTCATTGGAATTCAAGTAGTAACTATGTTACGTAATGGCAAATGAAATTTACTGCGAAACCCCAACACCTTTTGATCAGGATTCTTCACTGTAATCAAAAAAAAGATGATGGGTAAGGCAATTATTATAATCATTATTACCTTATTTGAAATTAGAGAAATTCGCATAGCTGTTTTCTCCTGGTTGGAGACTAGTGACGTTATTAGCACAATAGCAGGCACATTCTTCATTTTGATCAATTAACTATTCACTAGACATAAATTCTTTTCATATGAATCTATCATTAGTTAACAGATTAAATTTTCGATAGGCATTTTTATCTTGTCTGAAGGGAGAAATAGTTTATGACCAATTAAGGAAAGCGTAATATAAGTCTGAACCTATTAGGTTTTCAAAGATTTATAACCTTATCATGCAAATCGTCATCTACAGAACAGAGAAGATTCAAAACTCAAAAGGATACTTTTAGTGATGTTGAATTCTCTGAGATGGAGATAGTTTGGTGACGTAACTTTCGTTATGATTTTGCATAACATCATCAGAGCTGACTTCATGTAAAGTGAGCTTCTTAGTTAGTTTATGAAAATTATATCAATTTGTTCTAAAAATACAATGCATAACCTGTTATATAATGACTGAATGCTTATTGATCTTGCTACTAATTACAATATGTTTATCGAAGTTTACCGAATATTATAGTGACACATAAACCAATAGGTATTCTTGTGTTTTGTACCAATCTTAAAAGTAAGGCAACTTTTTATACTTCTTTTGTTCACTGTTCAGGGCTAAGTTATATGAAATTTCTGAGGCGGATAGTGAGGGAGACTAGGAGATAGTTAGAAATTTAGTGTCAAGAATTGAAGAATCAGACTTATTAAATTTTATGGTAAACATCAGAAGAAAGTAACACCAAAGTAACAAAAAAATCAATCGATCAATCATTCAATCAAGAATAAAACATACTTGTTCTGCAACGAATACAAAATTCCTATAGTGTAATTCGTAAGTTTCACCTAACAATGGATTGAATGGTTTACCAATACGACCAGCATTCGATGACATACTAGATACGGCGAATGCGGATACAAGCTGTAAGAAAAAGAAATTAGATGTTTTCTAAATAATTCTCAATATACTTTGAAGTCCTTAAAATCACACGACGGGAATATTTAACATAACTTTTACAAATGAATTGAAGTTTATTCTCGCTACACACGCTAATGGTTATCTGGGCTCAGAAGTTAAGCTGCTTAAAACCGCCATGTATATTAAAGTTCCAGTAATTACAAAGTCAAAGATGCTAAATTTTAACAGCTTTAATTGTTAGTGGTTGATGAGTGCCGTAAACACTTCAGGGTTGTTTTAAAATCGCTTAAACTCGACAGTATATTATACTATACCATATATACATAGACATGATGACAATTGATTGATCAATGAGTTGTGATTAATGACATGTGTGTGTCTAGCATGAAGTGCTGATTGAATTCTGTCGATAAGTCACTGGTCGGAGTGATTCACTTTCACGAGTTCGATAATTTGATGTCGAGCGATTGAACATAGTCAATAGGAAGTCCTGGACTCAGATGTCATGTTAATTGCAGCTTCTCATTAAGACATATCTGTAATCTTGAGGGGATTCCTGCCCCCTATATGACTCGAATCCTTTTCACTCCGTTTCACCGTCAGATAAGTTACCACTAAGTTTTTCGTGTCATGACAAGTTTCAACCTGTGAATTCGGATTCGAGTCTCACAGGGAGCATCATCCCCCTCAATATTACAGATATACCTTGCTGATAAATGCCAGTTAGCACGAAACCTAGGTCCAGGGTTTTCTGTCTACTGTTTTTAGTAACCTAACATGTAAGAGGTCGTTTTGTTGAGAATAATTTTCTTTTAAAGAATATCATTTATATAATCGTAAACTCTGAATCGTAATTCTTATATACCATACAACAGATATGAGTAAATTCAATGTTAGCTGACGTAATATTGAGACTAATTCATAAATTTTGTTATGTAACTAGTTCATTCACAACTGGATATCTTAACTAATTAAAAGTATTATGGTATTTATTTTTTGTTTCTTTATTTCAAAATATAATTGAACTTGGGTTCGATGGAAACCTGTTTAATTACCAGCTATTGAGGTTCATTTAATACGAATACGAACAAGTTGAGAACTCGACAGCATGATCACTGACACATAACATTTCAACAAATATCTTTAATACGATAAAACTGAAGAAGATAGTTGAGAAGAAGCTTAGTGTTCTAGATGTCAACTTGATAACTAAGACTAGGTAAACTAAAATGTTCCTAGCTAAATTTTTCTTTGCAAGACTGGTGTTCTTCAGTAGTCGTGATTACGAAAGAATGGAAACTTCAGTACTTCCGTACAAAGTACCGTCCAAGTAGGGAGTGGCACGGACGATCATAACAACGACAATAAGACTTATACAAAAGCAAAATATTATACCATACATTGACTATGTGCCCTCTACGTACAAAGATATAGAATTCGTTCAATAGTGACAACGATAATATAATTAATTTAGTTTTTAACGATTTGGATTATTCCTCCGTTTTAATGAAATCTGATTAATTTTTGTTACTACATGTAGATCCTGTACGGATTACCTTATTATAACTGCCACGACACAAGTCAACATAGAATAGATAAGATGTAACTATCAGGAGAAACCAAGACGCGAGTGTTATCTTGTTCGGGATTCATTAACTGGATATACCTACATCATCCCAATGTTGACATTCACTCCGATAATCAAATGCAGTAACCTTCACTTCGAACGCTTAAACGCGTTATCCACCCATCTAGAGTCCAGATAGTCACTGGTTCATACAAAGGATGCGAATTTCAATTCATTTCTAAGAGCTACTTCAATCTTCCCGTTGTTGATGTCAAGTATTGCAGAATGTATTGTGCCATGATGGTTTTATCGAAGCGATCCGCACATCAGGACATGTGGTAACCAAGACTGATCAAACTTCAGTCAATAAATTAATAACAAGATAACCCAAACCATTACAAATTAAATTAGAATTGATACACGTTACATAAGGTAGTGGTTATCTGGACTTAGTAACCAAGTGGATAACATATTGAGGTATCTAAAGTGAAAGGCTTCTCGGTTCGAACATCGACGTTAAAATCAACTACAGAATGCAATTACATCCAGCTGATGAGTTCCAAATTAAAACGAAACGTAAGCCTTGGATAAATAATAAAACTATTCAAATAACTTAATGTCAGTCAGTGGCCTTGAGTGCTGTTAGAGGTATGAGGGCAGTTATCACTTCCCGGTTGCCCACACCGTGGAAGGGTTCTTCTAGAGGTACCTGAAAAGGAAATTGGGTTAGAAGTGATCTTAATGACCTGAGAGTGTGGCCGCAGTGCCCAAGGGACAACTGCTTAAGGTCGGTCACACACGACCTTTTTGTGGGTAATTTTTGTGTTAGCTCCGTACTTGTTGGGATCTTACCGCCAGAGACGGATATCCATGGGATAAGGCGTGGTGTGCATTTTTAGGGTCGACCTTTCCTAACCCTACCCCTCCTTGTGGGAAGGCAGCATCGCTGTTATGCTGGTTGTCTGAAGGAAACACCTTACTGCTGTCACACCTCTGTACAGTCAGCAGTACGACATCACCTTCGGATCTTGGGTTTGCTGCTTTCAGTCTTATCACTCTTCAAACAACCTGCCTGGCATGGTAGGACATTGAGGAACGATTGTTCCAGCCAGTACAGCTAGATTGGTTCATCACGATAGGTAAGCCCGACCACCACGTCAAGGTACCAGTAACAGTCGGATAACTTAATGTCAATCGAGAAAAGATTAAGTAACTATCAGGTATAAGAAAAAAAACAGTTCACAAATGTAAATGAACTTAAAGTAAAATTTGTATTCTTGACATCATTTAACAACCTAGAAACAATCGAATTCTCATATGAATAAATTTCTAAAAAACAAAAGTTACAAGGATGAAGGAGAGAAAAAACAACTGCAAAAAAGAAAAAAGATTAGAAAGATCAGATAGTGATTGACAGTGTAGATTAACATTTGAAAAACATAATGATAATCATTAAATTCATAGTGAAACAATTAAACCATGAAAAATGTGTGTATAAGTGTGTGTGTGTGTGTGTTGGTGTATGTATTAAAACCAAATTTTATAATTTAGGTTCATTTACGTTTTGTTTGATCTGTTTTTTTTACAATCAAAATCATTATTCACTTTGTTAAAAGATGTAAAAAGGAAGAGAGAGGGGGAGAGGGTTGTTTTCAATTTTGTTATTTGTAAATAAGATAAATGATATTGAACTATTGGTCATATGTGAAAGAATGACCAAGTAACTAATAACAGACTTTAAACAAAAAAAAGAATAATATCGACTAATGAGAATAAACAGCTTATATATATATAGTAGCTTAGTAGCTTAGTGTATAACAGAGTTAGGAGATTTTAAGTGTACAGTATTAGGTTTGAATCTCAGTATGAACATCAGTATTGTGATGAAGATAAATCCAAGTAAAAAGAAAAGCATCACAATTAGGATGAAATGTAAGTTTTATATTAAACTGATAGCCATATATCAAATATTACTTAAACTTGTGATGTAATTTTGTTTCGAAGGAAAACATTAAGGTGGCAAAACACATTGAATCTGTAAGGATGTCTCGTTGACAAACTCAAGGAAGCCTCAAGAAGCCCAGAAAGAGCCGAAGACATTCCATCCAATCACTGCTAGGGGAATATTCTAGAATGTCGACGTGTAGCTTCCCCATTGGATAAGAATGACCCCCTGGCTGTCCGAAATGATGATTTACTCTGAGGGAAAAACTATTAATACATGAGATTTCTGTGCCATATTTTGACACTGTTTTGGGGAATAAAATTCCTACTTACTAGTCTTCTGTCTTCTCTATTGCGACGTTGCGGGTTCGATCGTTCAAGTAGTTTAGTAGTACGTGGCAAAGTAAGAATCAAAGCTCTAGATATAACAGGATCAATCACATTCACGAATACAAATGCCCTGATATGACCGAGAGTGGGGAGAGTTCGCCATTCCTCTCGAAATGCTCTCCCATAGCCATGCGTATATAGCCTCTGTCAGGGAAGTCCTACTCACTGCCTTCTCGTGGTATGACTGTTGTTTACGGAATTGAGAGGACGAAAAGCGAATGTCCGGAGCTTTGACCGGGTTAGTGGACACGGAAATTTCACCTAGGAGAGTTGGAAAACCCTGATTACAAACCAATGGTGCACATGAACTCCAGTATCCTGAGGGAACAAATTGCGTATGAATCAGTCGTTGGTCACCGGCTACCATGGAACTGCATCTCCTTACGATGCTCCACTGCCTTGTGGATCAGATCTTTAGGTCAAAGGCTCCGTCTGTGGCCCTCTAAGAAAACTACCTGCTTCGGTCTGGATACCATCCGAACAGTATTATAGCCCTCACACAAATCAAATAAGATTTGTGTGGCGCATATGTATCTAGTGCCCCTTTGTATCAATATTTATGCGTTTAAATAAATAAACTGTGTAAGATTATGTACACCCTATCAAGGCATGTAGTGGATTATGTTTTTAAAAAGAAACCCATTATGCTAATTGAAATAATACAGAAAGATATTTCATTCTTAAATATCACATTATTACAACACAAATCTACACAAATGTACATTATCGAATGGAACCATAAATATAATTCTTATAAACAACACATGATTATTATTAATCTGTAGATTGATTGAAATCTCTATAAGAAATATCAAATTCTGTTTGTTTTTATGAATAATTGTAAAAATTTATGAATTAAGATTACAATCAATGAAGTATTGTCATGTAGTCCTCGACTAAATGGAACCTGTTCAACAATTCACACAGTATATAGTGCTTGCAATACGAGGACCAGCTGGACTACTGTTTACTACTACACAGTACTGAACCTCTGTTTTATACACGTGTAAGACTTTTCAGGTTTGTGCATTTACGACATTGATACTGCTCAAACTTAAGACTATTAGTTCTTGCAGTGAGAGCCTATCTTAGCTAGGTTGTATTTTAATCGATTCATGATAGTATGCAAGAAGGATTCTCAAACTAAAACGAGACTGTCGTATAATATTTCCTGACTTTTGATACTTCTTTATCTATAATTAATTCGCTAATGTAAACTCTAAATGAATCAATCTTCAGAAAGTACCAATACTAACATATTATATATGTAGATACGTTGGTAAGAACGAAATCAAAATCACTTGAAAAGATTTAACAAAACACATTCATCATTTAATAACGTTGTGATCAGAGTGTACACTGTTTAAACAGCCTTGTTTTTTGTCTTGAAAAATAAACGAAAACTTTTAATATTTAGATTATACAGCACGCCAGTTGCCTATAAATCATACACATAGAAATGACTATATTTCTGTTTCTTGTCTGGATAACATTTTCCTTTTTCTTTCTCATTGTGGTAATAGACAGTTACAAATTATTTACTTGTTTATTACGCATGTCACTTCTCGCGAAGCATAGGCCGCCAACCAAGATTCTCTAACCTACTTATCGTGACGACACTCCGTATACCTATGTTAACTGTTGCTCAGGCTGTCAGAAGGGGAATCGGCCTCGTGACTGCCGAAGAATTTCGGCTATCACAGTGAAACGGCACTGGACGGTCGTTTCGTTCTATTATGGCACTCCTCAGCAGTGCGCATTCACGATCCCGCCTCGCGAGATTCTAACTCAGGATCTATCAGTCTTGTGCGCTGGCAATTAACCACTAGACCACTGAGCCGGCATCCAACGGTGTTAATGTCCAACTTCAACCAATCCATGACATTGAGCAACTATCCACCTTCGTCTTCAATGAGTTTAGGAGTCCCACAATAGGACGGAACGGCCGTCCAGTGCTTCCAGGTTTTCCATGGTGGCCTAGCTTCAACTGAATCATGATTTCAACCATAAAATTACTAAAATCTCCACACAAAACCTCTTCTGAAAATGAAAATTCACTGAAAATCAATACAAGAAATTCACATTGAATTAATTATTGGAATGGGAATTGCCTTGCTTCAATTGGAAAATTTTAAAATGGATTTTTCATAAAGAATAGACGATGTATCTATGAATCTGTAGAGTATCCAATTTTCAAGGTATTCAATATATGTGTGCGATATCTAGCTGTTTTTTTTCATTCATTTAGTGAGTGAATGCTGGATTGAAAAGCATAATTTTCTTTCAGGATATCATTTCAAGCTTCCAATTACACTTTATTTGTATTTTAATATGGCAAGTTGAAGTGCGCAACAGTGGCGTGTTTTTACAGAAGAGCTTTACTTACTGACTTACGCCTGTTACCCCTCGTGGTGGAGCATAGGCCTCCCACCAGCATTCTCCATCCAACCCTGTCCTGGGCAAGCCTTTCCAGTTCGTTCCAGTTAACATTCATCCTTTTCATATCTGCTTCTATTTCCCGGTGTAATGTGTTCTTTGGCCTTCCTCTTTTCCGCTTCCCTTCCTGATTCCAAGTTAGGGCTTGCCTCGTGATGCAGTTTGGTGATTTCTTCAATGTATGTCCTATCCACTTCCAACGTCTTTTCCTAATTTCCTCTCCAGTTGGAAGCTGGTTTGTCCTCTCCCATAAAACGCTGTTGCTGATTGTATCCGGCCAGTGAATGTTGAGTATTTTGAGTAGACAACTGTTTATAAATACATATACCTTCTTGACAATGGATTTACTAGTTCTCCACGTTTCAGCTCCGTACAGTAGGACTGTCTTGATGTTCGTATTGAAGATTATCACTTTGAAATAAGTTGACAGTTGTTTTGAGATCCATATGTTCTTCAATTGTAGAAATGCGCTCCTTGCTTTGTCAATCTTCGCCTTTACATCTGCATCAGATCCTGCTTGTTTATGAACGATGCTTCCCAGGCACGTGAATGTCTCTCCGTATTGTATTTGAGAATCTTGCTTTTTCCTTTGTGTATATTGAGGACAGAACAGCTTTAGATGATTAAAATGAAGTCCTCAGTGAAAATTACACCTTTATATGTAATAATAACACTCTCTCAGTGGAAAAAATGCTTGAAAATGCAAGATATTGGAGTTGTTCCATGTTGAAAAAAAAGATGGTTATCCTCACACTTTTATAATACGTTACATTTTTGAGTTTAGTAGCCTTAACATTAAACTATAATTTTATATGTTGTGCAGAAGGAAAAACGAAACATTGCCTTTTTAGTTAGAATTAGTTCACACTTATATTTTATCCATCTTCATTGAGTATTTAACGATTTTTGCCGACTAAAGCCTCATTTCTTGAAGTGGAAACGACATACGACTTCTGATTGGAAGTTTTGTGTTTGTGTCTATTGTTGAACAGTGTGTATCGAAAAACTGAAAGCTTTTCACTTGAATATTACTGACCGGATTGTTTAAAATAGGTGTATCATGAGATGTCGAAAAGGATTTCTCACTAAATCAATCTCGTTCAATTTTATTAGGACATAGTTTACTGTTTCTTAATCATATTGATCTAATGACAGACTCTTCCATCACTACGGATTAAGTACATAACATTGAAAGAAATACCAGTTCCTTGAATGGTCACGATGCAAGGACGTTCGGTACGGATTTCTTCAACTCAAGGTACGAAATATTGCTTTAGAATTACCCTTAGTTTATGTCTGGTCTCATCATAAAGGATTAATTAGTTAAGCGAGTTAATCACTTTATATTATCTCGACAACTGCATTGACTTTGCTGAGTTGGTAGCTGGTAAATTGTTTACATGGGTAAAAAAAACACCCATGCGACCTTATTAGATCGCACTGTCTACAGCGTAAGCAAGATATCCGTTTATTTAATAAGAAAAGAGAGTATATTAAGTGACAGTTCACTCGAAAACGATTGCTGGCTGTTAAATAATTGATCGTGTATGGAATAACCAAAAATAAGTAATACGAAAATTAAAGGTAGAATACTCGCCAACTGTAGGTAGTTATGAACCACACTTTTATGAACGAGTTTTCAACTGTTAAAACAAATGAAACGACTGTCGATTGACAGAAGGTATGCAATGGTACAGTGTGGCTGAGTGATGGCCGCTCAAAGACTGGATTATTGACGTAGGCTCTTACATGATTCAAGATCAAAGACACTAACAGAAAAATAAGTTTTCTTATGTAATAAAAGCAAATGCTTAGACAGAAATTATTAACAAAAAATAAACGTGATAAATTATCATAAGCGATTGGATCAAGGCAGTTTGTAGGTCACTCATTCTTTGATCGATCAAGACCTAACTGTTGGGGCTGACTTTCACTCGTTATATTAGTGGTAACTAGGTTGTCGAGACTGGAAACCTACATCGAATAAACTGGTTACAAAATTTGTTTCACTCATGTTGTGAATTTCATCACTTATTGCAACGTGTTGACTGCCACCTACACACACATTTACACATAGCAATCCAATGAATGAGAGAAAAAACATTTTTAGACAGAATAAAACCAACCTCCATACGTTTAATGGGATCTTTCTCTCCAACTGCTTTATCTAGTAATTCGGAATATTCCATGTATTCAGCAATACGTTGTAGAAAACTTAACGGTTCATTAAGAATGATTGGCATGGTGATTTTAGATAATTCCTTGAGATAGAAAAGAAATATACAATCTATAAGTAAGCAATTGACAAACTAGTAAATTGAAAGGGGCAGTAAGGAATTTTTCATGCTAAAAACGATATACATCACCAAATGGCATTCACTAACAAATTACTTAACAGTATGGTACATCACTAGAAAGTTATGTCATCCTATTTTGAGACTACTTAGCTATACGCACACCTACAACCACGCCAAGAATCAGACACAGGACTTACAGATATCATGGAGGATGGTATTTCTAAACCGCTGGGTAGTCAGAGAACAACATTCCATGTTCAGTCAATAGTTGCAGTAGGGTTCATAATAAACCCCTCAATAACGAGAACCATATACACAATAATAATTAGATTCCTAGAGCTCAACTGGAAAGCCATGACCAATGGTGCTCGATCATTTTGAGATAGTAACCTAATAATTTTATTGGATGACATTAGCGCAATATTGAGAACTCATTGAAATTGTGTTAGAAACCCTCGATAACCCTTCGTACAAGTTCTAACATGCTGAAAAAAAGCTGAAAGCACTTTTTCCAATCACCACTCAATAGAAACTTTCAAGAGTGTCCTACAGAAACGATCTATTATTTTTCCTGCCTTTATCAGATAATTACTTGTTTTGTTAGTAGTTCTAGAGGCTAGAAAATCAGAGTCATAACACAAACCTAACACTACCCTTATTTTTTGTCCTTAAACTAACTTTAAAAGTAAAGTTCCACCTCATAATTCTCGTCTCTTATCTTCTGTCTCAGGCTGAAATGCAGGAGACTTCTAAGCGGGGGGGGGTCTAGGAAAAGGTCAGAAAATCAGTGTCAACGGTCCAAACAACAGATATATCCAGTTGTAAATGTGAGCTATTGGATAGAAAATCATTAATCTAAAGGTTAAGCACACGCGTCCATTATTGGGAAGTTTCTGAGTGCATACTTTTAAAGAGTTTGTAATGACCTGCTTTTCTCAACGAGAACACGATTGGCATAATGGAAACAATTATTATTATTATAACCAATTGTACCAGTGATTGTTTTACTGTACTCGTTTTTGTTTAACTGTATCAAAATCACTTCTCGTTCCGCTATCCATCTTGTTCGTCCGAATGTTCTTACGCTCTGCTCTACCTGCCTGTAATCTTTGTTGGGTCTCGGTATTCATTCGATACCACGAGATTGCCAATAAATATACTTTATCTGGACCAGTTACAGCCTTCTGATTTACGAACTATCAAAGGAACCAAGTCAATTTCAGGCGCGTAACCTAACCGTAGTGGTGATCATAGTCAAACGAGACTCGATGTCATCTACATCTGGTGAACATGACGTGATACGAACACACCTCATTCGAAGCAACTGTCATATACTTCTTGCTTGTTAAAACCAATAAGCGCAAACTAACTTGACATTATTGATTATTCAGTAATGATAATAGCAACAATGACCCAGTTAAAACAAGTCGAATTTGTTCCCACAAGGAAATTACCCAAGTTATTATGTGTAATCATCCATATAAATAGATGATACCATAATAGTAAACAATAATTAATACTATTACATAATCTTAATTTATTTTTATTCATTGTTCGGATCAATATTTGTGAAAATCAATATCTACATAATTTACAAAGCTAAATGATCGAACAAATTTTTTTTGGAAAACAGAAAGTAGTAACTTTTACTTAGTTAGAGAAAAGATAAAATTAATCGATTTGTATTGATTTTTTTTTTTGAGCAGTGAATATGAGATGATTAATAGAAACAAAATTGTATACTAAACAGACGAGATTTTAGTTAGATGAGAGCAGAAATGAATGATCATTCATAAGTCGGTTTGCAGCTATCACTTAACTCTTAAGAATGGATGGAATTTGGTTAGCAATGAAATCTGAAAAGTGATTTTTTTCCGATTTTGGAGTCATCAACTGGATGTACACATGCATCCTAATGTTGATGTTCACACCGGAACTCGAATTCAATAATTTTCACTTTAAACGCTCTAACACGTTATCCCCTGACCTAAGGAGTCATGATAGCTATTAGCTAGTGCTTGAATCTTCCGGTTGTTAATACTAAAAACAGTAATTAATCAGTCTCTTTTGGCAATATCCTGAGCGGATTGTCTCGATCGAAGTTCAGTCCTTCATATCAACAACAGGAGGATTCAAACACTTACAAATAAATAATGGAATTATATTTTTTTTGTTATTTCTTCCCTATTAAACAAATTATCAAACTTTTAAAAAAATTGTCGCTAGTCAGTAATTCCCCTGATCTATTTCTTATGTCAACTTTTTATCAATCAAATTTATTGGTAGAAATCTATTCTAAAGATAAGACTTTAAGAATGGTCATGTGTAATTATTAATAAAAGGTGGTATATGAAGAACAACCAATCAAACTCAAGGTCAACCAGAAAGGCCTCCTGGTTATTTATAGAAAAAACAAAGATGTTGTCTTTTACTATAGCAACTAACATATATACCGTAAAACTATAGAGTGTAGGAAATAGAACATCATCTTGTAATTTCTGGATAGTTAAAGCAAACAAGTTTTTCTGTTAGGCTAATTCAACTAGTTTGTTTTATTGGCTCATATATGAACATTGTGCATCTAAGAAACGGAACGAGATTACGAGGGAATAATTCTGGTGAGTAGGAAAAACAATTTAGAGTGAAATTCTCTTGGATAATCACTGCCAAATGTGCCAGTCGATTAACATGATACAGTGTATTTATCCCATAAATATTACACAAATCTAACAGGTTAGCAGCTGAATAAAGACAACCCACTAAAGTTAAACAGTCAGTCAAAATCAATGTAGAATCTGGCACATATGTGCGTTGGGCGAAGTTGCCATACAATATTAGGATGGCAAAATGAATATAAAAAGATGAATAGCAAAGGGATTTATATAATGTAACAGTAATCCCGATAAGAAAGACTAAACATTGAGAATATGCTCATTTAGTATTGTTGTTTGAATCTTAACATTGATGTTTAGGACTGCAACTGGTAAGTCTCTTAAGCGAATTTAAACTTCACCCCATTGCACAAGCAAGTGGCTATCAGGACTCAGTAGCTGAGTGGATAGCGCTATGGCGTTTGGAGCAGACGGTAACGGGTTCAAGTATCAGGGCGAACATCAACTCTGAGATGTAGGTACATCCAGCTAACGAGTCCTAAATAGGATTCCACTTCTAGCCACTACCCATCTTTGCTTATTTAGAATATGGTTCGAAAAGGCAGAAAAAAAGAAGGTATATACGAAGAAATATTGCATCTTACAATCTAGAGGAAGCTGAATAGTGAAAGAATCCACGCCATTGTGAATGATTTTGAATCATGTCATCCAACATCTCCAACCACTAACTACGGATACTAAGAAAACCCTAACCCGGTAGTTTTGATTTGACCAAATTCAAACTGACACTCAAAATAATCAATGTTAAGTTACAATATATGTTTGTTAAACATTTTTAATACAAAGCCTATAAATTCGAAGACACTTTGAATTAACGGGAAACAATCATATTTAGTTCTAACAAAACTTATTAACCAATAAAATAATGAATAAAATTTAATTTTTATGGTGAACGGTTGCTCAAACTTCGTGGATTGGTTGAAGTTAGATATTAACACCATTGGATGCCGGCTCAGTGGTCTGTTGCGAGACTGGTAGGTCCTGGGTTCGAATCTCGCGAGTGCGGAATCGTGGATGCGCACTGCTGAGGAGTCCCATAATAGGACGAAGCGGCCGTCCAGTGCTTCTAGGTTTTCCATGGTGGTCTAGCTTCAATTGACTGATGAGTTCAACCATGAAAATTTTTTTAACCTGATTCAAATTATAGTTAACAATGATAATAATAACAATGTGTTACAATTACCTTTCCAATACATTGTTTCACAAAAGCCCATACACTAAAATCAGTTTTAACCATTTTACAAGGAAGAGATCTCCTATAGAAGGAAAAATGCAATAATAATAATGATAATAATAATAATATAAATCATGAGAAACATTAAGGAGAAGAAAAGAAAACATGAATTTAGCATGGAAAATGTTAACACACAAAAGAAAACATAAACCCTTTGGTTTTTCTATCAGATTCAATTATGAGTTAATTAGTTAGAACAACATATGTAAGTGAACAATATTGTTTTCAATTAGATCATCATCAGGCTTTACTCTAATATACATGAATATTTATACAAAAATGTTAGATCAATCAAGGCTATTTAAGTCAATAATCACAATGAAATAGAATACATCACTGAGCATAATAGGTAAAAGTAAAGTTGATTGTGGGAAGACAGGTGTACTGATTTACTTTACTTACACCTGTTACCCCTCGTGGAGGAGTATAGGCCACATACCAGCATTCTCCATCCAAATCTGTCCTGGGCAATCCTTTCCAGTTCACATTTATCTGCTTTTATTTCCCAACATAATCTCTTCAGCTGGAAGCTGGTTTGTCCTCTCCCATAAAACCAGGAAGTACTAAACAGTTGTAATGACCATCTATGAAAGATGACAGCGAAATATAATGAATTGATTGGAGTTGGACATGTGTGTACCAGTGGGTTTGGGCTCAGTTATCTAGAGGCCACAAGTTTACAAGCGAGAACAAAAGTCCTAAGTTCAAGTGGAATCATAGATGTGCACTAATAAGGAGTCCTATATAAGGGAGAAACAATTGTTTAATGCTTACTGGTTTTACAATGTTTGTTTAATTATGAACAGTCCATGATGTAAACTATTAAAAAATTATTAAGAAAATGAGAGCTAGAGAATTAAAAAATTAAAATCAGTATTTATTATTCTTAAATTGATCGTTTGATATTATGCTAATCATCTTTAATTTCTATTACAGCAAGTCTTATCTCACTGAAAATGAGTATATAGTTTAAAGTATGCTTGTATGCTCTATGATTGACTGATATAAATAAATTTAAGTCATTTGTCACAAATATAGTTAATCATAAACACGATAGAACTTGGCACATGTGTGTACATTAGTTCAAGTTACGTTACATTAGGTCAGTGTGATGAAATTATCAAGACAAATTCCAAAGTAGAAGAAAAGAACATTCATAAGCAATATGACTGATTAAATAAGAATAAATAAGATTGTGGAATAAAAAGTTTAGAACAACTATGAAACTCAAGGTCTGTGAGGGGAGGAAAGAATGAGTGTATCTACGTCATTGTAACTGATTCTGAGTAATTTTACACATCCCAAGTCATTGGTGATGATAGTGCCAAACATTTCAACCAAACAGTCTACACCTAACTCAATATTCAATGACTGCAAAATTACAGACATTAACACTAATCTTGATCTATAAGTGTAGGTTGGATACTGGGAGATGAAATTTAAATGTGACTACTCAATGAGATTTGTGTGAAGGCTGTGATACTGCCCGGATGCCCAAACTGAAGCAGGTGGTTTTCTCGGGGGGCCACACACCGAGCCTTTGACCTAAAGGTCTGATCCACAAGGCAGTGAAGCATCGTGAGGAGATGCAGCCCCATGGTTACCGGTCACCAACAGTAGGTTCATACGTCATTTGTTCTCTCAAGATACTGGAGTCAGCCTATGTGCACCATTGGTTTGGAATCAGGGTTTTCCAACTGCCCTAAGTGGACTTTCCGTATCCACCAACCCGGTAAAGCACCGGACATTGGATTTTCATCCTCTCAATTTTGTAAACAACACCCGCGCCACGAGAAAGCAGTGAGTAGGACTTCGCTAGCAGAGGCTATATACGCGTGGCCATATGAGAGCATTTGGAGAGGGAGAGCGGGCTCTCTTCACTCTCGGCCGTACCAGGGCATTTGGGGGCCAAATCAAACAAATACAAACTGATAATAAATACTTTACAACTCAAACAAATATTAGCTAATAATTATTACTTTTCGATATGACCTTGTAATTTGTTGACGAACAAAGGAAAATTGATCGCTTTTTTATCAATATAGATTGCTTAACAACGATTATAACCATCATTAAACTAACTGGAACAAATACGACGATTTTATATTTTAAGAAGTCACACACGAATGTGTAAGACTCCTTGAAAAATAGAAGAAAATATGGACAGATAGACTTTTTGGTTGAGATCATGAATCAACCAATGTTAGACCACCAATGAAGACCTGGGAGCACTGGAAGGCCGTTTCGTCCTAGCATGGGACTTTTCAGCAGTGCGCGTCCACGTTCTCTCATGAGGGACTTGGACCCAAGACTTTCGGTCTTGCGCGCGAATGCTTAACGCTTTGACCACTGAGCCGGCATCCAACGGTGTTAATGTCTAACTTCAACCGACTCACGAAATTTCGCGACCATCTTCCACTATCTGAAATAGATACCTGTCTCTACCTGACACGGATTAGCTCCACTGATCGTGGCTTCTCCCTAGAACTCAGAGAAATACTTGGCGAAGTTAGTCACTAGTAAGCACATGGTATTTATCAGTATGGGGTCGTGGAGATTGTTAAGTTTTTGATTAGGATCGTGGATGCGCACTGCTGAGGAGTTTCATGATAGGACGAAACGGCCGTCTAGTTCTTTCGGGCTTTCAATGGTGGTCTAAAATCGATCGATTCATGATCTCAATCAAAAACGTAACAATTTCCACAACCATATTCAGATATTTATTGTTAACACGACAAAAAAAGATTTCTAATTCTATGGCGAGGGCAGGTTATGGAGATTGTTGAACTTAGCCGTTTACATCACAGAACAAATTCAGACAGACAACCATTGTAAACCAGAAAACACTGGACAGATATTTCATCGTAATATGAGACCCTTTAGTATTGCTTATCCACGAATAAATTGGAGGTCGTACCAAGGACCATCAGGTTCCGCGATGAGCGTGTAACAAGCAGACCATCAAATTAGTATCAAAATGATTCACAAATCAAGCTTCAATCAACTCATGAGTATTGCCCAATCATCTAATGCTAGTCGTGTGAAAATACCTCACATTCCACAAGGTTGGATTCTATTGGTCACGGTTTCACACTAGAACTCAGGGAATAACCTCTTGAAATTATTCACTAATGAACACATGATTATTATTAGTGCAAGGGAGGGGTTTTGTGAAGATCTGATATAACCACGATCGAACCACTTATTTTGATATCTATCTACCTCATATTGATTAGCAAATTTACTTTTACTTACGCCTGTTACCCCTCGTAGAGCATAGTCCGCACATATTATCAAACAAATTATATTTCAAATAAACTAGAACTTGATCGATTAACAATTGATTGACTAATAATCTTAATATGGTGAGAACAAAAATTTCATAACTGAGAAACCAATAGCATAGTAGGAAACCCGTTTTTTTTCAATGATAATAGTATTGTAAAAATTAACAACTAAACAAATTTTATTGATTTATCTACATCTACCCATGCTTCTTATCCAATCCCCAGTAGTAATTTTAGCTAAATTATTGACAAATCAGACCACATAATCAGGTAGTAAGAGAGAGATGACGCTGACATACACTGAACTATCTAACTCTAATCATATTGATTACAATGATCTTTAGAAATGAATCATTGAGATATACAGTTAATAGAGTTGTACATCTTGTTTAAGTATATGTTGAGCTGGTGATCACAGAACTCTAGATTTTATTTCCTTCAAATCATATAGGAACATGAAAAAAAATTTTAATTGAAAAAGTGACTTCATTGTACCAGCATACTGATTTTCTCCAGCTTTATATGGCGGTAATACAAAGTGAATCTATGTGTTTAATTCAAAAGGCTAGGAAGGAATTGAAAATAATCTAGGATCTATTGAGTAGGAGTAAAGATCAGTAAAAGTCTGGAACCAATACTGTACGTTTGAAGTTAACGATCCTTTTTTCAATGTTTAATAAGAATACAATACATAGGATTTTCTCGTCCAGTTAATGGGTGAGTGCTGCATATAAATGTGTAACCCTTAGTGGGGTTTTTACTTTAATCACCTAACGTTATCCAGTAAAAACACGTTACTGTATCGCATCGCAATCTGAAAAGGTCACCCTCCCTCTTAAATTTTGTTATCTGCATATCATTCTAAACCGATTTTTATTCTTTTTTATGCCCATTTTTGACTATATTTCATGGTTGACATTTGTCATTTTATGTTATATTCACACATACAACTAATTTTTTCAGGACTAATAATCTTTTTAGTTACTGTAAGCATTATACTTGATTGGTTTCTGAAGTTTCAGAGGAAAAACTGTTTGTTCTTGTAGCTTTTATTAATGAAATGACACGGTTCTGCATCTTTCCTTAGTTGGAATAATCGGTAATTTTTTGGAATCTTATATACTGGGATTTTAAAAAGAAGTGGTGTATGTTTACGATTGTAAGGGTAGGAATCGCTAACCAATTCTTCCTTTCGTTTCATTACCCTAATTGGCTTTTTTTTATTTGTAAAGGTTTCAGTTTTACATTCTTAATTTTAAGGACTGAAATTCATCATTTCGGTGTTAGGCATTTGAAGCTAAATGTACTGGGTTCAAGTCTCATTGTGAACATCAAGATTGGGATTCAGATGGATCCAGACAATCAATCTCAAATAGACCGAAATACACATCTGGGATTCGACTGCTACCCATATACCGAATATACCAAGAGCTTTTTTCCTTTCGCCCATATTAAAAAATCAGAGAAAAATATTAAAATACCTTCCCGGGAAATTCCAATGTCTTTATTGCTAGGTATCTACATTTTCAGAAGTTTATCAATAAAAATACACGAAACAATTATGAATATTCACTTAGTATTGTTTGTTTGAATCTTCGCATTGATGTTTAAGACTGCAACTGGTCAGTATCTTATTGGCATATGTGCATACTGTTCGTATTACCTCGATATAGCCTTAATTCACAAGCATTGTAAGCAAAGATGGATAGTGGCTAGCAATGGAATACAGGACCCA